CTTTTGCTTAAACCTCAGCTTGATGATGTCTGTGATCTGCCTTGATGTAAGACATCACCGCCAGACCTTCACGGTCTGACACTCAATATCGTTGAAATATGTGATATGGGAACGGCTACTAGGAGATTGTGCAGCATAGTTAAAAATTTGCAGCTTATTTCGCAGATTGCAATCCAACAAAGAGGTGGCCATAGGTGCAAGATCAGATTCGATCAATTTGACCTTAATGGACTAAACTGTGGTCAGACTATGTTTCTTTCGTAATCAAGTTTATCATTCCCAAGGAAGAGAAGTGGACTTGAAATAACATTTTTGTCCAAGTATGCACCACTAATTTTCACTAGCAATAGCGGTTTATTCGAAGAGCTACGGACGATTCCTTCCCAAAATCAAATATAGTTGAGCTACTACTGTGGCAAAGGCAGTGTCTTATGAATGACGTCGTAGTAGCTGGTGTCGAGATATGTATGCTAACGAAAACTGGAACAAGATTCTTTTAGAAATCAAATAATTTGACTTTTGAGCTTTTCAAATTAAGAAAGGAGTGACGGCGAGGCAGTCGAGGTAACTAATTTGTATAGTTGATTATTCTTTTGGAGAGATAAAGGTTAATTAGATCATTCTATGTAGCTACAAAACGAGGTAGTACCAGAGACTTAAAAAGCCAGTATGTTTTTGTGAGGAGTGGCATCCCATCGGCTTACCTCCCATGGAACTCAAAAAAATTGCAAAAAAAGAAGAGTCTACAGCACGATGGTTTCCATTATGGTCTCCCACTAACGTACTCAGCATCGCTCTCAGCAGCTTAATAATTATTGATCGGACGGGTAATCATGCTTTATGCTGGATATGGCCGTAGACGTCAAACTCGAATTCGGGGTCTCTATCAAGACTTTTATTTTAGAATTATTAAAAACAAATACAAATTCAAAAAAACCTCCGTACTATCTTCGGATAGTACATTCGTCAATTTTAACAATACAGAGAAGATTAGCATTGTCCTTGCATAAAGATGACACGCTTTACAAAGAGATTTTACCCCATAATTTAAGAATATTGAGCTTTTAAGAAGTAAAAGAGTGAAAGGCAAAGAAGCTTGACTTATTTTTGTAGGAATCTTGAAAAAAAACCAACATTTCAGGCAATTTTTGCACTAAATTTCTACTTTGAACTGAAAAGTTGAGCACAAACGCTTGATAACCTTCAAAAAAGACCTTAGTTCAAGGATAATTCATGTTAAATCTTCTTTGGATAGGTAACAGTGACTAATCATTAAAATAATATTGCAATCAAGCAACAGCGTATGCTATAAAGACCTAAAATTTCATCATAGTGAGCTGTACGTGACTAAACTGTCGGCTACATCCTTCTACCAAGTATGGAATGAGGCTATTACTCGCCATGCTTTCAAGATTCAATAAAGTTGTTAAATCGCCTAACCCTCCCTTGATTAGGGGTAGGACTTTACAGACTAAATGGCACCACCAATTATTTTTGGACTTGGTTACTCGTCGCTAGACCACATTAGAGAGCCCCTTAGGGCTCAACTTTCAGATATCAACGAAAAGAGTCTTATGTATCTACCAAATATATCGAAGGGAGCACTCTTTACAAATATTGCAAAAATTGAAATTGTTGCAAAAAAAAAAAAACAATTTTTTAACAAAAACCACCAACAGTCCACCACCTCACCACTAGCCAGTCCACCACCTCAATGAAGGTCCAAAAAGTGGTCCCTTCATTCGAAAAAGCAGGAAATTTGCCAGAACCCGTTCTACAAACTACAAACTTGAAAAACCCCAACATCCCCTATTCCATACCTCCTACCTAGCTGACAATAAAGCAACCGCTCCTGCAAACAATTAATTTCACAAATTTCACTCCATTGACAAGTGCCATAATGAACGCGTGCCTGTAGCTGACTGACCTAACGAACTATAACTGAATACCCATCCAGTAATAGTCCACCATCGAAAAATAGCGCAAACAACAATTGTTAGCATTCTTCATTGCATATAGGGGTTTGGCTGCTGGCTTAATTCGTTAGGAGGAGGTCCGAGCCAATACCCAAACTGACTGTCCAATGTATTAAATGAAGCGAAAGTCACAAAAGGGACCAAAGGGATCAAAAGGGACCAAAACGGACCAATAGGAACTAATAGGAACCAATAGGGACCCAAGGGCCCCCCAAGGGGCGTCCAAGCGACCAAAATGGGTCGAGATCTGCCCAGGCAAACCGCCCCAAGCTGGGTCGGTAACCAGGTGCTGCGCGAGACATGCCACGCAGGGGTTCGTACTAAACCTGGGCCCAAGGTTCAAAATTGCCCGAGCGAGCATTCCCCAGCAATTACTCAAAGGAGTTAAATTATTGGAAATTAATTAGATGCTTGAACATCAGCAGAGGCGGGCATTGTTGGTAAAACAAAGATACCCGTTATTGCTAGTAAACTGGGTTTACCCTTGAGTGTGATAAGCCGGTTGTTCTTGCAACTGGCCTTCGGTGCTTATTGTGTCAAGGGAAATGAAACCGGTGGAAATTAGTACCTGATAGGAAATATTCCACTTGGCTGACAATGCGGGAGCACCCCCTTCGAGCATACCGTCTCCTTATTGGACCACTCTGATTGTAGTTGAAATACGAGTCTGAATAGGGGTAGCTTTTTGGCAATGGGAAATGGTTGTTAAAACAGTGTCCTGCTGCCTTCCCAAAAAAGATAAAGTGCATGCAGGTGCCTTTGTTTCTGAAACCGAAATTTTTCAGCCAATTTCCCCTTGATTGGAAATTGTGGTAGGTTTTGAAGGGATGAAGATGTTTCAACTCTAGAATATTATTTGATTGTCCTCGAGGATTAGGTTTCGAGTTGAATGGTTCCCACATTGTAGTTACCAATTCTGGATTGCCAACCTGAAGTGAATCAAAAATTATTTAAACCCCTGATCTTCCTGGTTGAACTGGAGACTTTTTTTTGTTCTTTAGACATTCTTCATTAATCAGATCCATTATTAGTTACTCTACTGTTCCAGCTATAAAAGCTGGCTAAAAGAAGTAATAAGGTTTGCTGGTCAAACTTCTTTTATTTTTTATTTTTTTTTTTTTTTACGTTATATACTTTTTTCACTTCTTGTATTATTATTATGACTTCTACTAAAAGCTGTAATGCAAATCCACCAATCAAACGGATTGAATTCAACATTAGTTGTCAATACCGGATGAACAAGGTTCTTGGTGAAGGTGCTTATGGTGTTGTTTGCTCTGCTGTTCATCAACCAAGTGGAATTTTGGTTGCAATTAAAAAAGTTGAACCATTTCATAATCAATTATTTTGTAAAAGGACTCTGAGAGAAATTAAGTTATTAAATCATTTTAGAGGACATTCAAATATAATTGGATTACATTGTGTACAAAAACCTTCAAGTTTTGAAACTTTTAATGAAGTTTATCTAATTGAAGAATTTATGCCCAGTGATTTACATCAAATTATTCATACTCAATACTTACAAGATGATCATTTACAATATTTCATTTATCAAATATTAAGAGGTTTAAAATATATTCATAGTGCTAATGTTATTCATCGAGACTTAAAACCATCAAATTTATTAATAAATGAAAATTGTGATTTGAAAATATGTGATTTTGGTTTAGCTAGAGTTGATACTTTAAAAAAAACTAATGATTTATATAATAAAGATCCTGGTATATTAACTGAATATGTTGCAACTAGATGGTATAGAGCACCTGAAATCATGTTAACCCCTTCTCAATATTCAACAGCAGTTGATATTTGGTCAGTTGGTTGTATTTTAGCAGAATTATTAATTTGTACTCCTTTATTCCCCGGTAGAGATTATACAAGTCAATTACTTTTGATTTTTCAATTATTAGGCACTCCTAAAGATGAAGATTTTAATTGTATTAAATCTAAAAGAGCTAGAGAGTATATAAGCACTCTTGAATTTTTTTACCCAGTTGATTTTGATGTTTTTTTCAATAAACATTATAATCGTTTTAAAAAATACGGTAATGAACGAATTAACCCTTTAGCAATTGACCTATTGAAAAAATTATTAGTTTTTGACCAAAATAAGAGAATTACTGCAGAAAAAGCTTTACAACATCCTTATTTAGCAATGTATCATGATCCAAGTGATGAACCTACTATAACTCCCATTGAATTGGAAGAGTTTCTCATCTCAAAGAATGAAAACCCTAATTTAAACGATTTAAAAATTGAATTATTCGAACAGGTAATGAATCTAAAATAACTATTTTTTCACTTCTACTCATATATCTCTTTGGTTATGGTTTTTATCTTCTAAATACTTATTTATTAATTCTTTTTTCTTATATCAAGTTCTATTAACATATACTTTTTCGAATTTGTCTTCATAATGTTATACCCCAGAGCAAAAGATAAAATTACAAACAAAAAAAATACAAAAAAAAAACCAAAAACAAGCTCTTTTATATGTGAGACATACCGAAAACTCTCGTTCTCTAGAAGATACCATGACTCTTACATAGTGTTAATAGTAACTGTAGAGTAATATACGAAGAACGGCGATGTTTATAGTTTGGTATATAGAATTTAATATACGATTTTGATGGTGCGAATTAAATATGAATGTAAATTTGCAGCAATTAAAATTAACTAAATTTAATCAAGTTCTACAGAATAAACTTTTATAATAGATTCCATTTAAATCAAGTTCTACAGAATTAACTTTTAACATAAATTAAATTTAAATCATGCTTTACAAAAGAATTCGAATAAACTTTTATTATACTCAGTATTCTGCTTAAATAAGGAATCTGAAATTAGGAGAAATCTTGCTACCATCGTTACCTTTACCCAATTCTTTTTCCCAATTCATTGAACCAGTCAAGATTCTCTTATTTAACTTAGTTAATCTAGCCCTCAAGATAAAAGCACAGCCAATTGCCAAAAGGATGAAAACACAATTACAAACGTATGCGACCAAATATCTTGGAGCAGCGTCATTAAAATAAAGATAACTATTCCAAATAGAAGCTGAATTTGATAAACAATTCATTATACTAAGGGCAATAGCTCTTTTCAAAGGAGGTCTTGGAACACAATTCGACATCCAAGATAAAATTGTGGTAAAGGAACAATACAAGGAAGGAATCATAATCACCATACCAAAGTATCTAGCCCCAACGTTTAAAGTTGAAACATTAATAATGAAAGAAATTAAAGAAACGAATAAAGGAGCCACCACATGCCAAAACCTTTCACCAGTTTTATCCGAATGACGAGCCCATAAGAAAGTAGCCACTACTGCCAATAAATAAGGAGGAGCACTTAAAACAAGAGTGATAATTCTATCGAAACCCAAAGTTTCAATAATAGAAGGGAAATAATTAGTTACCCCACAAGCAGCCACTAACCAACTTAAACAACCAGTAACTAACCAAACCTTAATATCACAAACTGCCAATTTCAAAGAACCCATACTACCTTCTTTATTTTCGGTATCGGAATCATTTTGACCAACTTCACGTTTTAATTTCCATATTATGATATCCTTTTCTTGTTGAGATAAAAATTTAGTATTATGAGGCATATCTGGTAAAACGAAATAAGCAATGGGGGCAAGACCAACGGTGATGGCCCCTTCAATAAGGAACAACCATCTCCAAGATCTCAATCCTTTAACATAATCCATTTGATTAATAATACCGGCAGCAATTAACCCACTAAAAGCTCCACTTAATAAACTACCAGAGTATAAAATGGTATTACGAACCCCCAATTCCAGTCTGTCGTACCAAGAACTAAGCAAATATAAACATGCTGGGAAATATGCACTTTCCACTAAACCCAAAATGGCTCTAATTGCTAATAATCCTCCAAATCCAGATTTCCCTTCCGGTAATCCTTTACCATTTGGATCATCATATATCGAGACAAAGCCAGTACACATTGAAATAAGACCCCAAACACACATAATGGCACTGATGAAAATCGAAGGTCTAGCAAACTTATTCAAAAACATATTAGCTGGTACTTGCATCAGAATATACAAGGCAAAAAGAATAGAAACACACGTTTGATACTCGTTCCCCTTCAAATTCAAATCTTCTTCTAACCCACCAAGACGCGCAGATGCAATGTTGTTTCTATCAAGATAGTTCAAAATATAAAGTATAACCAAACATGGTAACAATCTTATATCAGCAATTCTAGTAACTTTCTTCTTTAACTTTTCCAACTCTTCCTCACTTAATCCTTGTAAACTTTCCGGTAACTCGTCTGCTGGGTCAATCACTTCTAATTTCCCATCCTCAAGCTTATCGAGGTTATCTTCAAAATCATCCTGTCTAATTTCGCTATGACTAACATCCGCTTTTTTATTCTGTTCAATCTCAGACATTCTGTTTCTTCTCTTACTTAGTCCAATTTTCTCTCCAATTTTTGCTGGATTCACCCCAGACTTAAATACCTTCCTTCCCTGATCTTTTGTGAATCATTAGTAACTTCTTTGTTAGTCCTTTGTGAGCCTTTCATCTCCAATATTGGGGGAACTGAGTTATTGTTAATACAAAGAGATGGACAAAAAGGCTGCTAATTTGTGGGGTTTTTCGGGGTGCGCCGTGGGGCATCTTCGCGTACTTCCGACCACCGCGTTAACCCAGTAGTTGTTAGCAGAATGGCACCCCCGGCCACACCCCCGGAACACCCATCTGAAACTAGGAACTTCACAAAAAACAAAAAAAAATACGATATCCGACCAGTACCATGCAGGAATTTGTGGGGGATACTCTGACCAAACGGATAAACTGCTATTCAAAACAGAGTGGAATTGACGTGATGCACAAAATGTTGGGAAAACGAGCCAGGGCTAGGAACTGGAGCATTGTATGCTTGTGGTGAGTCCGGACGGAGTTGTCACATCACCTAACGGAAATGCAGCTTGTCACGTGATCCCAAAAAGTCAAAGTCAAACAAAACACCCATACACCAGATGAGCTCATTGCACCCGTACATATGATGCACGGGTGCAAATCTTGTCGGCGCAAAAAGCTAAAACCTGCTTGATTACCCAGTGGCAATAAGATAGTTACTCTTTATCAATAGATATCTACGGACGAATTGGGTTAAAATGTCGAGTAGATCTTCTGATGATACCCATGAAAGATTCAATCAGAGTTCCACCGAAGATGAGAACTCCTCTAATGAGGAAGACGACTCTTTGCAAAGATTGAGTGAATTAGCATCCAGAAGGGCTAGATTTAACCGAGAGGATGAAGACGAATTGAATGAGTTAGAAAACTTGGGTCCTGCTAGCTTGCTACGCCACTTGATGAGTGGAAGAAGTGCAAGATTTGATGACGAGGAAGAAGAGGAACACGGAGATGAAGAAGATGAAGAAGAAGAAGATGATGAGGAAGAAGAAGAAGACGAAGATTTTGAAAATGACGATCCAAGAGCTGAACTTTTGAGACATATGGCATTTTTGAGCTCGAGAGGACCATCAGAGTCATCCAATAGACCAGCGGGCCAATCATTTGCCGATGTAATGCAAAGATTGATGGGTTCAGGTATGATCTTTGGCGATAGCACTGGGAACTCGGAATTTGAAGGTTTGATAGAGAATTTAAATCAACGTGAAGACCCTTACTTAATTCTTGAGACTTTAAACGAATTATCTGAAAAATTATTAATGTTAAATGGGGTAACTTCTGAAAGGGTAGTACCGGCAAATAAATTAGCTCGTAGTTTGGTTGAAATAATGAAAGATGCTTCTCTTGCCGATCATTTAGAGTTACAATTGGTTGCTTGTCGTTGTTTATATAATTTCATTGAAGTTAATATGGACTTCATTCATGACGCTTTGAATAATAACGCGATCGAAATCTTATGTGAAAAATTAATGGAAATCTCCTATATCGACTTAAGTGAACAAGCTTTATTAGCTTTGGAAATGATCTCTAGGGATAATTTATCTCATAATAGAATCATAACTAATAATGGGTTGAAAGCAGTTTTACAATATTTGGATTTTTTAACAATTCATGCTCAAAGAAAATGTTTAACAATTGTAGCTAATTGTTGTTCAAATATAAGCTCAACTAATTTTGAAAATGTTCAACAAGTATTTGATGATATTGCAAGAGTCGTTGGTACTCATAATGATCCTCAAGTTATTGAAAATGGTTGGTTGGCTATTTCAAGAATTATTATGAGTTTTAAATTAAAACCAGATTTCTTAGAAGATTTATTCATTAAAAGAGAAGGCTTACTTTATGAAATGGTTCATGTCATTTATATTAGTGCTAATAAATCAACTCATCTTTCCACTCCTCAAGATTCAAATATCAATATTAACTCAACTTTAAATTATGATTTAAATAAAACTCCTTTGAATTATTCCTCAATGATAAGTTTAATTAAATCGTTGATTGTTTTAACTAGTGTATCAGTTGACATTTCTAAAATTTTGATTGAAAATTGTAATATTGGTGAAATCATTGTTAAAAGCTTAAACAAATATAATCAACATCATAAATCGGATAATATTTCAATTGAATCATTAATGATTGCTCCTAATGAATTAATCATACAATTCTTAAATCTTATTGGTTATCTTTTGCCGATATCTTATAAGTCAGTGGATACTCCTTTTTTACAAAATAATTTCGAAGAATTTGATATAAGACAAAATCTAAATGATCAACGTTGTAAACTTTATAATGATAATCAATCTTATTGGAAATTTATAAACGATATTTGGTATCTATTAATAAATACCTTCCAGGCTACTATGGATTATGAAATTAGAAGGAAAGTTATTATTAGTCTAACAAGAATTATATCTTTCTGTGATTTGAAAGATTTCAATCTTATTAATAATGTTGAGCTAATTACTAATATCTTGGCTTCAGTGGTTAATAATAGTAAAAAGTTCATATTAAAAGATTTTGAATCAAACGATGTTGATATGTTAAGTGAAGACGACGATAATGACGTTCGTCTTGAAGAACAACCAAAGAATATAAGTAAACTACATTCAAATGTTCTATTATTATCCACTTTCTTAATAAGTTATAATTTAATTAGAAAATCTCCTAATTTATTCATTCAAGATTTTGAACGTGAAGGTCTTACTAATGATTTAATACAGATTTTGAATGCTTTAAAACTTCAATATAAAGCTAATGATTTGGAGGTTGACAATATTGAAGATAAAGAAGAATTATCCAACTCCAAGTCAAATTTTGTTTTTAATTATGCCTATGCAAATAAATTCATTGATCTGGAATTAATCAATAATTATGAAACCAAATTAACTAGTGATGAAATTTATCAAGATTTAGTTAACATTGGAGAAAAAATTGAAAAATTGCATATTGACTCACGAGACTCTTCGAATAATGAATATATGAATATACTTCATTCAATTAATGAGACTTTAAATTCCAAATCAATCAAAAATTTCAATTCCAGGAACTGGAATGACTTATGGAATACTTTGAAACTTTCGTTGAAAAGTCCTAATCATTCAATTTCAAGTTTTGAGTTAATTTCATGTGGAATAATTGAATCTTTAGCAAATTTATTTACTCTGGAAAATTATGAATTTGGCTTCGAATTCAATGATTGCTACAAAAGTTTTATAGACGTTTTTTTTAATGATCAAAGCATTTCTTTCTTTATCGAAAAATTACAAGATGCATTAACAAGGTCCGAATCATTTGAGATTATTTCTTCAGGTATTGGACAATCAACTTTAGGGTTATCTGGTACTCTAAAATATAGCTCAAACCACGATCCTCATACAGCAGTGATGGCAAGGCAGGTTAGAATTAGATTAATCGCAGAAGGTGAATCTGATTCAAATAGATTACCTGTAAATATGCAAAATATGGTATTGTCAGTTCATGCTATTGCAACTTTTAAAAGTATTGATAGCTTCTTGAAACAAAGATATAGAATTTTAGAAGAATTTTCAAGGAATGCAACTCCGGAAAATGAAGATGAAGATCAAGATAATGAAGATGAAGATCAAGAAGCAATCAAGAATTTGAGTGATGAGGAAATAAAATCGCCTCCTAAAATATTAAGTACTGAATACTTAATCAACGGAGAAGTTATACCAAATGAAACCACTATTTATGGGGCTATTTGTAAATCTTTACAAAATGAAACTGATGAAATGGTTGATCCAACCAAAATATGGTCAAATATCCACACGGTTACTTATAGAAAAGTCAGTTCAACAGTAGAAGAAGAGAATAATAAACCAATCACATATAATTCACAGGTATTAAATGATATTGAGTACGACAATTATGATCCAACAACGATAAATATATTAAAACTTTTGAAGATTTTTTTTGAAATGAATTCCTATGCCAAAGATTCTAAGATATCAAATGAGCAATTCATGAATTGGAAATTAACAGTCAAATTAAATCGTCAATTGGAAGATCCTTTAGTTGTTGCCAGTGGAACATTACCTGGATGGAGTATTCATATTACCAAACAATTTTCATTTATTTTTCCGCTAGACACTAGGATTTTTTTCTTACAGTCTACGTCGTTTGGATTTTCAAGATCCATCCATCATTGGCAGCTAAGAACCAATCAAGAATACGCCGATAGCCAAGGCTCATCCAATTCTAACTCCAATAATAACCACCGCGCTCAATTAGGAAGACCAACAAGACAAAAAGTAAGATTGTCAAGAAAATCAATTTTACAAAGTGCGGTTAAAGTTTTACAACTTTATGGTTCTACTCCTGGTGTTTTGGAAATTGAATATTTTGATGAAGTTGGATCTGGTTTAGGCCCAACTTTAGAGTTTTACGCAACGGTTTCAAGAGAATTTTGTAAGAAAAAGTTAAAGTTATGGAGAGACAATAGTGACGATAACCAAGAGGATTTAGAAAGCTATGTACAATCAAATACTGGTTTATTCCCATATCCATTAGATAAAAATCAAGTTTTCAGTGAAAATGGCCGGAAAATGATTTATTTTTTTGCAACCTTAGGTAAATTTATCGCTCGTGCATTACTCGATTCAAGAATTATTGATTTTAATTTTAATCCAGTGTTTTTGAAATTAGTTCAATTTTTTAATCAAGGAGCCAAACCTACCAATAGAGACTTGAAAAAATTGACCAGTTTGAACAGTTTAAGATTGGTTGACTCAACATTGGCCAATTCATTAGAACATTTGATCAAATACATTGAAGCTTACAAAGATGTTCCAATAGACCAGAGATCAGCTGTTGTTATTGACGATTGTACATTAGATGATTTATCACTTACATTCACATTACCAGGATACCCTGATTACGAATTAATACCAAATGGTGATGAAATATTTATCAATCATGAAAATGTTGAAAACTATGTCAATAAAGTTTTGGAAGCAACATTGTATTCAGGTATAGTTCATCAAACCAAAGCATTCATGGAAGGCTTTAGTAAAGTTTTCCCAATAAATTCCTTGATTATTTTTTCACCTCAAGAATTAGTTGAATTATTAGGCAGTGCCGAAGAAGATTGGTCCTTATCAACGATAGTAAACTCTGTTCATGCTAACCATGGTTACACTAAAGAATCGGAAGCCATCAAAAGATTGATTAATATCTTGGTAAATTTCAATGACATTGAAAAACGATCATTTTTACAATTTTTAACCGGATCTCCCAAATTACCTGTCGGTGGCTTCAAATCACTTAGACCAGAATTCACGGTCGTTCGAAAACTAGCCGAACCTGGATCTAGTGATGATGATTATTTACCTAGTGTTATGACTTGTGCTAATTATCTCAAATTACCTAATTATTCCTCTGAAGAAATCATGAAAGCAAAATTAGTACAAGCCGTAAATGAAGGTGCTGGTGCGTTTTTATTATCATGATACCCTATGCATTCATTCTCTCTTTTTATTTATCATCTGTATAGTTGGATACCCATTTTTATGATTTAGTATATACTTAACTGAATGTAGTGTACGTATAACCAAAAATCTGGTAAAAAGGCCCAAAACTTTAGGGCGAGCGAAATGAAATAAAAGGACAGAGAGTTTACTACTTTGAGTTAAGTATCCATTCAATTGAATAAAGACAATGTCATCGGTAAAGTTAGATAGTATATTAGATAAGTTAGTGAAGAGTTCACCACCAGGAGAGTTAAAAGGAGTGAGTCAAGACTTGAATACATTATTATCGAATCAAGCTAATAGTTCAGTAATTAATAAAAGTATTGAAAATTATATAAATGAAAATGCCAGTGTATTTTCATCTAAATTGATTGCTTCAAAGTATAATAAACAAGAGAATTCAACCAAGTACATTGATTACATTGGGAAAAAAGCATTCAATATTGATTTAAGTAAACAAACTGCCATTGATTTCGAAGATATTGAAACATCTGAAATCGAATATCCAACTTATTTTGATAAATTGAATGAAAAATTGATGGTTTATGGAGAAGACCATTATCCATCGAGTTACGCATTTACGATTATACCTAAAGAACAAGAAGAAGTTCATGTGATTATAATTGGACAAAGATTAAATAATGATAATTTCTATACTGGACAATGGAAATCACATTATATTTTGAAAAATGGAGAAATAAGTGGGAACATTAAGTTAGATATTCACTACTATGAAGACGGTAACGTACGTCTTTCATTTGATGAACCAATTGAATCAACAAAAATTTCAAAAAATGAAAGTGATATTGTTAATTTCATTAATAATTCGGAAAATCAAATTACCATTAAAATTGTTGAAAATTTCAACGATTTGAATCAAAAATATTTTAAGAATTTAAGAAGATTATTGCCAGTTACTAAATCCAAAATTAATTGGGGTAATGCTATTGGAAATTACAGATTAGGTTCCGATGTTGTCAATAAACAATAGTTTTTTATTACGATCCTGGGGATCTTTATTAATATATAAGCAATTCATTTCATGGAATCATATTATAACTCATTAAAGTATTTACATAGATGTATCGTGATCAACACGATCAAGTCTTATCTTAATTTAGTTAACATCCATATGATAACAAATATCAAGAGTATTAAGCCAATAATTCTTGTAAGACTTGCATTTCGATTCATGACATTACGTAAATCACCACTTGTTCTCTTTACTTTTATCCAAACTTGACCAAAGTTATCATTTAACATATCTAATGTCAGATTTTCTTGTTGAATTGACCCATGTATATCATCGTTAACCACCGTTCTGAATTGATGTAATGTCTGCGCTAGTTGGTCAAACCGTTGATTATTCTGTTGTTCTCTATGCGAATACAAATTGGACATGCTGTTGGACTTGAAGTATCTTTAGATCTCTTGTGATAATCGATCATTCTTTTATACTTTGACTACGTATTGATTTTTTTTTGATTATTTTTTTTTTGTTTTGCGCACACCAATTACAGAGATTAATTGAAAAGTCCATGGAATTGACTAAAGGTTGTTAACTTCAGGGAAACGGTTGATATTCAGAAACTGTTGTTGTTGTTGCTGTTGTTGTTGCTGTTGCTGCTGCTGTTGTTGCTGCTGTTGGTGGTGGTGTTGAGGAGGAGGATAGGCAGGGGCAGAATACTGCTGAGAAGAATTTGTTGATTGATTAAAAGAAGTTGGAGGAGGAGGAGCAGAAGGATTTGAAAAGTAATTGGGACTTGAATAAAGATTAGCATTACCGAAACCGGTACTAGTGGGTTGCAGTTGTAATTCATTATAAGATTGAATGCTTGGATTTGAGAAATGTGAGTTTGGATTTGTAAATTGCTGAGAAGGGTAAGGAGAATTATAATTAGGAATTGAAGGAACTTGAGAAGAGCTATGTCTTCTATTGATCAGGTTATCTACCAATTCATTATATGTTTTAATTTCTGAATTCAATTCATTATGCAAAAGACTCAATTCTTCTTTACGAACACTATATTTATCGATTGATTTAGCTATGTCGGGTCTAATTGGAATGATTTCGTTATACAAGGAGGTGATTTCATCTTCATTAATAGAATTTGGATTTGAACTCAACAAGGCTAATAATTTTTCAACTTTTCTCAGATCAACTGATAAGATTTTATTTTCAATATTTAATTCATTTTGTAATTCTTGAGGAGATTTAGTAACCACAGGAGTAACATAGTTCAAGGGGAAAATCCCGGATTTCCCACTTGGTAAAGAGCCTTTCCACCAATCTCTATAAACCGATTCAATCACGTTTATAACATCACCTTTTCTAAACGAGAGTTCATCGGGTTCGTAAGATATTAGATCATATAAGGCCCGAACTTTAGAAACGGTGGCAATTGTTTGAGGTTGTTGAGAAGAGTGACTCACGTTAGTATTTGATTTTTTCAATTGCAATTCAGGCTGCGCTGGCAATACATCATCATCATCTTTGGTTTCTGGTAATGGTTTAGTATTCAAATAATTTTTCTTATAAGATTGTTCCTTTTCATATTCTTGTAAAGATAATTTGAGAACTCTATCTAATTCTTGATCTTCTTCCAATTTATCCTGTTTAGTCATTTGATTTTTAGCCGGTTTATCAGGCCCGGCACCCGAGATATCGTACTGTTTATACTGTATAATCATGATTTGATAAGCGTCAGCCATTGGTTTCAAAGAAGGATCGCCTTTGAAAGATTGGTATAATTGTTGGATCACTTGATACACTTTATATTTAACCTGTTTATGAAGTTTACGATCTGCCAATTTTTTAATCAAATAATCATTTAAAAACAGCTTAGTGGCAATTTCTTGTTTCATTCTGGATCCGCAGTTTTCTGCCACCGATATCAACAATGACAACGTACGTAAGACAACGTTGGCATCTCTTAGACTCAATCTTTGGGATATTAATTGGATAGCTTCTTTAGTATTAGTTTCTGGATTCAGGCTAATTTTATCACATACATCAAGAATATACTGCCAATTGTCGGTGGTAAGTGTTTCATCGGTGGCTCTCTTGACGAGCAGCTCCAACGACCTTCCTGCTGGTTCGGGTTTCGAGGATCCAAACATCTTAAGGGGTTAATGAAGAGTTGATAAAGAAACAAGTGGTTTTAATAGTTGCCGCCGTCAAATCAACACCTCCGTACAATTCTGATTAGGTAATCGAGAAAAATCTGGTGTACGGGTGCATATTTAGTGGTGAAGCAAGAGTTGGTAGCTTATTCTATACAAGAGCTTTAGGGGCCAGTTCTGATCAATGGTTCATTTTGTCTTTGAAAGCTTGTGGATCATGAGAATTAGCGGAGGTTTTCCCCATGACTTACAAGTCATATCTTTGTTTAGCTGTCAAAACACAAAGATATAATTGACTTATAATACTTTCACTGGTAATGAACTAGATGAACCACCGTATGAAGTACCGTATAAAGAATATAAACCACGGCATAAACAGAAGTATAAACTACAGTATAAGCGAGTATACATTACAGCATAAACCACTGCAAACCAGCATAAGCTACCGTATAAGCTACAGTATGAACTACCGTATAAACCCCGTATAAACAAAAGTATAAACCAGTATAAACCACCATATAAACAATAGTATAAAGCAGTAAAGCAGTAAATCAGTCAACCAGTATAAAGTATAAACCACCGTATAAGCTACCGTACAAAGCAGTAAAGCAGTAAACCAGTATAAAGTATAAACTACCGTATAAACAACAGTACAAACAACAGTACAAACCAGTAAACCAATAGATAACAGTTTGTGGTTGCAAAAAGGGAACGTGCTGAAATATACCCACGGGTTGCATCCGGTTTGCAGGTTGGCGCCACCCGCAGGTTAACTCCCGACACCAACGTGTGCTAAGTAATTCTGGGAACGGGGGGCCATTCACCACTAAAACAAAGAATTGGAAAAGATTCAGGGAGATTCAGGGAGAATATCAGCTACTTCAAGCAGCAAAGGGTCAAGCAGAAAAAGACTGAAGCTGGCGAAGGGGACGCAGCACCAGCGGGACTCGCCAGGAAGCCCCCCCGGGCAGATGTACGGAGCTTCCATGCTGGTTTTGCCGGCCGAAAGAGGACGGGTTACGAGTATGCGGTGTGCGGGTGTTTTGCCGGGCTATTTCCGGGCTATGTCCGGAGTGGACCAACGGCCTGTCAAACTGCCGAACAAGACATAAAACGGGTTGTGACAGCATCTGTTGATCAAGACCAACGAGCAGACCAGGTCCAGGACACCCTGCCAGTGGGCAGCGTGGAGCTGGTCCCGGAAAGATGGGTATGGGGTTCCTAATCGGTATAGGGGTACAATTATGAATTGATGCACAAGACACGCTCTGGAGAAATTTTCAGAAAAAACAACCGTTGTGACTGGGTTTAGGGTATGCTTGGTGCTCTTTAGCTTGAACTTTGGATTAAGACTTGTTTCTTTGATTGGTAAGGTAAGGATCAAGTAGGAAAACATGAGTGATTCGAATCATTTGTCGCCTAAACAAACCACCCGTCGCCGGGGGTCATCCGTGGGGAAATTTGAAGTTGGTGATACTTCACCATCTTTGAGTACGATGTATATTAGTAACCATTCTAGAAAAAAGTCGTTTGAAAGAATCAATGAATTGTCGAAGGAAGGTTCGTCGGATATTGCTATATTGAAGAAGTTTATTATTGCATTTAGAGAATTGAGTTATAGACATACTTGGATTCAACCGTTGATTGTTTTGTTAATTAGTATTGGGACCTTTTTATTATCGGCTTCTGATGGTTTGGTACATGAATTTTTAGCAAAATTGATGATTCCATCTTATAAGATTGAAGGAACCGATCAATACGGTAAAGGTGTTAATGATTTCTATTTTGTATTTTACTACGCCATTTTTTTCACTTTCTTGAGAGAATTTTTAATGTGCTGTATCTTAAGACCATTGGCTAAGTTTTTCAAGATTAAAAGAGAAAGTAAACAGAAGAGATTCATGGAACAAACTTATGGGATCTTTTATTATGGTATAACCGGTCCATTTGGTCTTTGGATCATGTCAAGAACTCCCTTATGGTATTTCAATACCACCGAATTCTATATCAGTTACCCCCATAAAACTCATGATATCTATTTTAAAATTTATTACTTAGGACAAGCTGCCTTTTGGGTTCAACAATCAATTGTTCTTATTTTACAATTGGAAAAACCCCGTAAAGATTTTAAAGAATTGGTTTTACATCATATTGTCACCATTGCCTTGATTTGGAACTCGTATCGTTTCCATTTCACTTGGATGGGGTTGGCCGTTTATATCACTATGGACGTATCGGATTTCTTTTTGGCTCTCTCCAAAACTTTAAACTACTTGGATTCTCCAGTAACCATTCCTTTCTTTGTTCTTTTCATGTCTACCTGGATTTACTTGAGACATTATTTGAATTTGAAAATCTTGTGGTCCGTTCTCACCGAGTTTAAAACCGTCGGTGAATGGGATTTGAATTGGGATACTCAACAGTACAAATGTTGGATCTCCCAACCAATCGTCTTCTTCTTGATTGGGGCTTTACAATTGGTCAACACCTATTGGTTGTTCCTCATCCTTCGTATCTTGTACAGACTCTTCAATAGCGGAGAAGCTAAGGATGATAGAAGTGATGATTCTGAAGAAGAAGAAGAACAACATAAAAAGTATGATTAACCTCAATACCAGTGGCCCTAATAAAAACTCTTAATTTCTCTAATCAACCCTTTCCTGGTACCTCTTGTTTATACTATCGGTTTATTCATGTCTTACAATAGATTTGTAATAGATTTTGTAATAAAATTTGTATTATTTTTTTGTAACAAATTTGCAATAATTTTTGTAGTGGTTTTTTTCTCAAAGCAAAAAATCAACTCGATGATGTTATCGGTATGCCAATATCCATAACTGCAGAGGAACTAGTTGAGTTCCATAATGAATCGTTCGTCCCGGAGAATGGTGCAATGAAGAAATTTCTCTTGGGCAATCCGGATTTACTACTCGGGAAACTGACTATTCTGAATACTCCAAAAACCGACGCTGGAAATTTACAACTTGGTGATTTAATATTAGATGAAGAGAATTTGATTCAAAACGATGAAACGGAAGAGGCAAAAAAGTTTATTGAGTTTCAAAAACAACATCGGGCTCAGTTCTTACAAGAAATAAGGGATAAAAATCTAAGTTTGAAAGGAACCTCAAACGATGAACCAATGATTGAAGTGATTGAACCTTGTAAAAAAAGGAAACATCAACCATTAAACTACTAATAATGATAAATACAATGATTTTAAATTTAACTATTTACAAAATTATTAATCTAACAACTGATTTAATTCATCTTTCAGTTTTTGCTTATTTTGAGTCTTTTTATATGCTGTCATTTTATCAATTCTCATTTGTAAACCATCTTGAGCAGCTTTTGATAATACACCAACCATTAAATTAGTGGATCTAATATTATCATCATTACAAGGAATTGGGTAGGTCAATAAAGAAGGCTCCATATCAGTATCACATAATCCAATTGTAGGAACTCTCAGTATAATACATTCATTAACACAATTTCTATTTTCAACTGGATTTAAAATAACAACTAAATCTGGTTTAATTAAATCATCGGCTTCTTTTAATAAATCACGGCCAGTTGATTGATTCAATAAATCAGTTTCATGTCTTAATTCTCCACTTAATTGTCTAGTAACTTCAACAAAATTAGTAATTGTACCAGGAATCCATCTTTTAGAAATATAATAACCTTGAGATCTTTTAGCAGCAGCTTCTAATGCAAGATGTTGTTCTTGACTCTTAGAAGTACCAACATAAAGAATAACCCCACCTTTCTCACTGACTCCTTTGATAACTCTACTTGCCTTTTTCAATGAAGTTAAAGTTTCATTTAAATCAATCAAATGAATTCCATTATATTCTCCGTATATGAAAGGTTGAGTACTTGGTCTCCATTGAGATTTTGCATGTCCCAAATGACATCCTGCTGCCATTAAAGTACTAATGGAAGTTTCTTCAAGATGTTGAGGTTTTCTAATATCATCTTTAGGTAAATAAATATCAGTTAAATTTGATCCTAAATTACCCAGATTTCTTGTATGGGATAAATGTCTTAAAAATAATTCTTGTTCAGAATATGGTTTATAATTAGGAGTTGGTTTTAATTGGGGGAATTGATTGAAAATAGACGTTGATGCTGTAGATCTAATGGTTTGACTAGTTGATGAATTATCACTTGATGTTTTCAATTCATCAATATTAGAATTACTTATTTTAGCCCATGGTCTATTTTGAATTTCAAACTTTGGTAGATTCATATGCTTATTCAAAAATTCTTCTAATTCTTCATTTAATTGCTTGACTTTTCCTTGATCTGGTAAATTATCTAATTCTAGTTGAATTTTTTTCAATCTAGAACTAATTAATGTGGATGGGGTTTTATTTAATGTACTAATCATGTTTTTCGTTTCTTCCTTCATCTCACGCAACATTCTTGCTCTTGCAAACCCTTCTTCTTCCTTGGCTAATGCTTCTGAAATCGCTCTTTCTCTAGCAACACTTCTTCTGACCGTTTCTTCACTTCCTTCAACCGTATCACTTTCAGTGGTGACCGATGCAGTGGCTTGGTATCTCACAAAGCTACGCATGGCCCCGCGCTGGGCACCAAGCAGCTGTCTCAGTAAACGAAGCATCCTGTTTCTTCAAAGACTTGTTTGTTAAAGATTAAAAGACCTTAATGTCGATTTGGTTGAAATTTTTCAGTGAAGAACGAAAAAAAAAAAAATAAAAAAATAAAAAAATTAGAAAAAGTCGTGTGGACATTCATTTTCCACTAGATCTTATTACTCCATCACCGTATTTTGCAATAAGACAGCCATGGAGTTAAACAGGGCCACTAGGGACGGTGAGGAGATTCAGTACTGGGAGTGTGACACGCTCACCCAGGTCTCAGCAAGAATTCTCGAAAAATTACGGAGAAAAGCCCAATTGGAACCGGAATCAAAGGTGACCTTGGTGATTGCAGACCCTGCTCTTTATGATAATGGGAAGCTAGAAGTTGTTCCTCTGATCAGCACAGTCAACCTCTTGCCGCGAATCAATGTCGTGTTGGTCGAGTCATGGGAAGAGTTGATAATGCTAACCAAAAGCCATTACACTCCTGGTTCTCCAATGGCACCAGGATGCGTGGATGAGAATTGCAAAACGTTAGTATTCTACCGGGTGTTAGAGCACTTTTCGGAGCAACTAGATGGGCAGAAAGTTAACTACTGGGGGAATCTCTTATACAAATTGATAAAGGTGACGAGATGCGAGGTAGACTGTGTGGAAGTTGGGGTGGACGAGACCCAAGTGCCCAACACCGAAGCATCATCGGATATGATCTCGCTAGAGCTACTTTTATCTAAATGGATGAATATCGAATAATATTAATTTACATGAATATAAACTAGAGAGAAAAATCAGAAAAGAAAAACTAGGAAAGGACAAATAAAGAGAAGTTTTGTCATTACTCATAACTTATATATATTTTTTTAATGATTAGTATTCAGGGGAACCGGCAGTTATTTAGTAACTTCTTCAACGTCTTCTTCATCATCTTCAGCACCGGCTTCCGCACCAGCACCAGCACCAGCTTGGCCTAATTGACTAGCCAATTTACTGATATCAAAGTCACCGCCTGGACCACCAGCACCACCGGCACCACCCATACCTTGCATCATGGAAGCAAAATCAAGGCCACCAGCACCACCGGCACCACCAGCACCACCCATACCTTGCATCATGGAAGCAAAGTCAAGGCCACCAGGGCCACCGGCACCACCAGGACCACCAGGACCACCAGGACCACCAGGACCACCTAAACCACCCATGCCTTGCATGTCGTCTTCTTCTTCTGGTTGCTCATCTTGCTCGTCTTCATCAACCCATTTGTCGAAATCAGTTTTAACATAATGTAATTTAACCTTTTCTTTAGTTAAACGAGGCCAGTATTCTTCCTTCAAGTTCTTCTTTCTTAAAATAAAGAAAAGATTGTGTCCGGATTGTGATTTCTTACTGTTTTCAGTATCGATTTCTTCAAAGAATTCCAAATCCAATTTATAATGATTATCGTTTTCAGCAGAATCAGCTTCAAAACTTAAATGAGTTGAAGTCAATTCCAATTTTTCATTTTGAGGATCTTGAATAGCAATGGTCAAATAAATAATGTTTTTGCTTGCTTCATTTTCATTGGAACGTTGTGCCCATAAGACAGTTGGATGTGTGACAGCCATTGTGTATGTTTCCTATATCAATTGACTTCCTGTGGTGAATGTCTTTCTTTCCTTTTATACTTTGGCTTCGTTGATAAATTGCCTTCATTAATTTTCTCGAAGTTTCCAACGACACTGGGAAAAAACGTAGTGCGCGTGCACAACAATATAGTTGCAAATATTATACTTATATTGATATATTGATGTATTTATATATAATTATATACTTATATGATTAGCTGCGGTCGTTGTCGACCACTTGGAGGAACTGGTAGTAGAAGGCAATGATTTGAAGGTGGGAGTCGAACAAAATACGCTCGTCTACGCCGTGAGCATGGGTTTCCACCGTAGGATTCAAGCCTGGTCTGTAACGATAAATGTGCTTGGTAAGGTCCCAGAAGTATCTGGTATCGGTATTCCCGGTGGCAATTCCTGGAGCCACAATGACGGGTTTACCCTTGAAAGGAGATTTGGCATTGTCCGGGAAGGAGACTTCCTCGTAGACGTGTCTGATGATCCCGGCAAGTAACTTCCACTTAGCATCACCAACTGGGGTCTGGGGTGCTGGTTCGAGAGGATCGGAGTAGTCGATGGCAAAGAAGCCTTTTTCTGTCACTGGCTTCAACTCTTTGCCGTTGAGTTTAACCCCCAAGTCATTTTCCCGAGCAATCTTAAAGGCAATTCTTAAATCGTGTTCCACGGTTTCGTTGACACTTGATTCAATTGCAATACGATGGTTGACCACTGCCTCGACGTATTCTGGCAAGGCATTGGACTTTGTTCCTCCGTTGATAATGTCCACTGCAGTCGAAGTAGAAATAAGGAATCTACTCAATAAGGATTCGTTGGTCAAGTAGTCAATGGCCTTATTATTTGCTTTTGAATTATACTCAGCATCAAGAATGGCCCGTTTAACGTCGGCGGGTAAGCTTGGAGAATGAACGGCAATACATTGGTATTCATGGAAGGTTGGATTCAAAGGCGTAAACACTCCTTTGAATTGGGTTCTCTCCAAATCATGAATATACAGCGCTAATAATCCAATTGAAGTATGGTCGCCTTGAGGTACAGAAGAATGTCCCCCCGGGGTTTTAACCGAAACATGAACATCTAACGCTCCCTTTTCAGAGGTTCCAGGTAACGCCAAATAAACATCGTTTTGTTCTACCAAACTTTGACCACCTTCATCAACAACTGCATAAATTGAATTTGGTCCATAGCGCTCCAAAATACGCTTTGAGATCGTACGGGCACCCCGTTCACCGCCTACTTCTTCATCAAATCCAAAGGCAAAGATAATCGTACGTTGAGGTTTGAATCCAGAATCCACTAGTAATTCGCTGGACTCTAATAACCCAATCAACAAATTCTTGCAATCAGCAGAGCCTCGGCCCCATAGTCTCTCTCCATCGTAATGGCCCGAGTATGGTGGATAAGTCCAGTCGTCTAAAGTGGCCTTTTGAGTGGGCACAACATCTTGATGGGCCATCAAAACTATTGGTTCAAGGCTCGAGTCAGACCCTTCCCACGTAAGCAACAACCCCCATTGGTTGACTTTCTCGACTTTCAACACTTCATTGAAGAGCCTGGGGAAAGTGGCTTTCAAATAATCGTGAAATGGAGCAAATTTGGCTGCCCAGTACTCGGGATCCTCCTCGACTGAAGGATCAGAATCAAAAATCTCGGTATTCACTTGCACAGCTCCCGATAATTTGGCTGCGGACTGATTACGAAAGCTCTCATCGCCAATTATCTTAGAAACGGTAGAGTTATCCTGATAATAACCTTCGGGACGTACAATTTCTGCTACCGGACACTGGTTTGAAGTAAATATCTGTCCCAACTTCTCATCAAACTCCAGTTTGATACTCACTGTCAGAGCCAATGTAAGACATCCAATGACCAAGAAAACTACCACGGCCAGTGACCTCAACAATAACCCAAGGTAATTGGACCTTCCTGCTTCTGATCTCTTGGGTTCCTTCAACATGGTCGGAGCTAGGTTGTGATTTCCGTACACCACAAATTAATAGCAAATAACAAAAGGGGTTAACACCGCAACGATAAGCAACAAATGACCTGGTTAACAATTAGAGCTAAGTCTGATGATTTAAAACACCTTGCTTAAAGAGGAGGAAGCGTTAAGTAAAAGGGTGAAAAAGAAAAGAACTCAAGTTGAAAAATTCAGGTGCTGAAGAAAGGAAAGAAAAGGGAAAAAAAAGGATCTTACACTGTGGAGTTCTTATCAATTGTGCAATAGTCAAAATATACTGCTATTCCGGGTATCTATGATTAAGAAGGTGCCATTCAGTATTTCAATTGTTAGAGGAATTCAAATTTGATATCAAAATAAGGCAATTACTCGAGTTATAGCGGAGTGAGAGCGGAATTTTTCAATTACTTTTCAAATCATCTTTTACCCCTGCCTATCAGTACAGCTAAATGAATCATGATAGGGGAGTTACCATTAGAGATTCAGATCAAGTTACTAAGGCTAGCGCCTGCTAGTAGCTTGAAACATGTCAATTCCCATTTCTACATGCTATACAACAGTTTGTACTATGATAAGATTATCGAAACTTTTGGAGAAGATATCATTTATGTCATAATCAAGGCATTGTCATGGATAAAAATCTATATTAGATCTTTAGATGCATTTAGATTTGTTTGCAGAAATGTGATCAAGAGTCGTCTTGACTTGAAGAATGTCCCCGTTGCCAGAAAGAGGGCAGAAGATTGTTGTCGGGATATGGATCCTATAGTTGCCAATGAAATCTTGAATTGTGAATATATCAAGGATTCCTGGCGTTATATCTATTCAGTATTGAAAAATAAGAGATTGTTTGCTGAATATACCGATTATAAGATAGATGAACCCACGAATTATGTATTTAATCATTTTGTTGAAATTAATCGAAGTTATCTTTTGTCTTACACCAAGAGTTTATGGTTGGCTCCAGGAGATTATAACTTGAATATAGGCTTGGTTATTAAGCACGGAAGCGGATTGGGTACTACGAAATTTGAAATCAAGTATGAAAATCTGCAAGGTAAAACAGTAACTCAGACTTTTTATCCGCCAACTAATATTAATGAAATTTTACCAAAGCAGCAATTCTGTTTTTTAAGATTGGGTGAATTCACCATACCCCCTGCCGATCCTAAAGTGGGTACTGATGATTGCAACCATCATAATAAGTTATACAAAGTTCAATTGGTGATGGAAGAAATCGGGCTTTATTTGAAATCTGGTTTTAGAATCTTTTTCATCGACATTTGTCAACCGCTGCTTCTTTTCAACGATTTCGACTTATTATACTACTCAGTTAAAGAAACAAATTATAAGTATTTCATTAACTTGCCGATGAAAAATCTATATAAGGCTTTGAACTATATCCAGAATGGGGGTGAAAATCATGAGTTGAACCAGAATGATGATCAAGCCCATTATGGTGAAGGTGATCCTTTTGATATAATGGATCAATACGACCAAGACTACTCTGTTGACGATGTCTTGGTTAAATCTTCCATACCTTCCGCTCCAAATAAAGATAAAAGGCCCGTTGAAAAAGAGCAAAACAAGTATAAAGATAAAAGAATGAAAATGGTTTACGGTAGCAGCAAAAAAGATCATAGCATGGCTAATTATATCTTGAACAAACAGAAAGACCCTCGAGAAGACAAATTAGCTGCATATGCAGATTTTTACTTCAATAATCATTTCAAAAAAAGATATTTCAAATTTAATACGGTTTATCAACGTCGCCAATTCATAAATCGTTTTGGTGACTTCGATTTAGACTGGAATAATGTCGAAGAATACAAACCAGGTACTAGATTGGATGATAAAACTTCTAACCGGCAAAGATCTTGTGCATACGACAAAGAAGGTCTAAAATGGAAAATCCCTTTGGTGGGTGAACTATGAGCTCAATACACGTAGATTCCCATAATTTTAATGCATTTTTAATGATTTTATAGCTTTTAATAACGAATTTTGATGAAAGTTTTCATTTCATAGTTGCAATTTTGTATTTAGTATTGAAATTTTTGTATTGCGAAACTTAAGTCATTTTTAGTTGATGTTTTGATCTGTTCAAATACAACCTACCTACTATCGGTTAACTAATAGATGAGCGACGAGCCACTGCATAATGCGAGGCCCGAAGAGGTCCGTGAGGAGGTAGCAGTCACAACCCCTCATGAGCAGGGTCAATTACCAGAAGAACAACAGGAAAAAGATCAACAAGATCAAGGAGTGGAAGATTCCATATCCTTATCAAATCTGAAACCCCCGTATCCTGATATAGCAGAAGCCGAGACCAATGATGATTTATTCTACAAGAATCAAATAGATGCTTTTACCAAAGAACAAGCTGCATTGAGTCAAGAGGAGGCCGTAACCTGTGAAGCTCAACATCCACCCGACTTTCAACAAGGTATTCAGGAGTCAAATATTCTGAATGAAGACGATGGCCTGCAAACTCTCCGGCAAGAACAGTCACATGCCTTTAATTATAATCAAGAGTCACTGGCCCACGAAGAGTGGCACCCACACCCCGAGGCTCCTAAATATAACGAAGAACTCGAGAAACAAATTCGTGAAGAACGTCAATCAGAGCAAGGTTCCGAAGAGGAAGAATCCGAAGATGATGGTGAATCAAGCTCCCCGGAACTCAATAACAAAAGAGTGATTCTTCAAAGATTCACCATATATAACTCCAAGACCACTATGTACATAGTGGGAAGTAATGCCAAAGAAAGTCTTTTCAGAATTTTAGAAATAGGTAAGGATCCTAAAGATCCAAATAATTTAATGATTATTGAAGATAAGAGCTACTTTTACACTAGGAAAGACATGGTCGAGTTGATTAATGGGTTAAATGAATCAAGTGAAGGTGGTATCAATAAAATTTCGCAAGGTTATGGTTTACTTGGGTTAATCAAATTTACTAAAGGCTACTATTTGAGTATTATCACTAAATGTAGCCAAGTTGCCATACTAGGTGGACATTTTATTTACCATGTTGACGAAACAAAACTAATTCCATTAGACTTCGATTATAAAAGGCCCAATAAATATAGTGATGAAGAAAGATTATTGTCAATTTTCAAATATTTAGATTTGGGTAAAACCTTTTACTTTAGTTATGCATATGATATTACAAATACTTTACAAACCAATTTCATACGACATAAGAAATTTGCAACAGAGTACCAAATGCATAATGATTTAGATTCCGAATTCAATGATGCCAATATTTCAGAAAATTTTAGGACTTTCGAACACAATGAAAGATTCGTTTGGAATAATTTATTACTTAAGCCAATTCTTGAAAATACTCATATTGCAACTTATGAATGGTTTCAACCAATAATTCATGGATTCATTGACCAAGCTAAGATTTCAATTTTTGGCAAGAAGATTTATATCACAATCATTGCTCGTCGGTCCCATCACTTTGCAGGTGCTCGATTTTTGAAAAGAGGTGTTAATGATAAAGGAAATGTTGCTAATGAAATTGAAACCGAACAAATTGTTTCTGATATGTTGATTCTGTCGTTTCATGATCCCAAATACGGCTTTTTCAATAACCCAAGATATACTAGTTTCGTACAACATAGAGGTTCAATCCCATTATATTGGACTCAAGATTTGAACAGATTACCCAAGCCCCCAATTGAAATCAATTTAATGGACCCATTTTATCAAAGTTCAGCAATTCATTTTAATAATTTATTTCAAAGATATGGGTCACCAGTTATCATATTAAATTTAATTAAAACAAAGGAGAAACAACCAAGGGAGCTGAAATTGAATCAGCATTTCAGCAATTGTATAACATATCTTAATCAATTTTTACCAGAGAAACATAAATTACAGTTTAATTGTTTTGATATGTCAAAACATTCTAAAAAGAACTTGGATGTTATTAGACCGTTACAAAAAATTGCAGTAAAATCAATCGATCAGGTTGGTTTTTTCCACAATGGTCAAGATTTAGCATCTACCAGAATCCAAAAGGGAATAATAAGAACAAATTGTATTGACTGTCTTGATCGTACTAACGCCGCACAATTTATAATTTGTAAAGAGGCCTTGTCTTATCAGTTAGCAAGTTTAGGGATGATATCTGAATCGACAAACTTGGATTATGATTCTGATTTAATCAATATTCTTACCGAAATATTTCATGATCACGGGGATACTATTGCTGTACAATATGGAGGGTCAAATTTAGTTAATACCATGGATTCATATAGAAGAATAAATCAATGGTCTTCCCATACTCGAGATATATTGAATAGTATCAAAAGAATATATTCAAATTCATTTATGGATCAAATTAGACAAGAAGCAATCAATTTATTTCTTGGGAATTATGTTTACGATGCGTCCAAGCCCAAATTATGGGAACTACAAAATGACTTTTTCCTACACAATAATTCATTAATCCATGATATAAGGGTTAAAATTAGTTATCAACACTGGTTTAATGCAAATTATTTATCAGATGACCGGTTTGATTTGAAGAAAATTGAAAAGAAGAAAAATGATCCATATTCACTACAAGTCGTAAAACTTGAGCAGTTCCCAGAATATAATGACAATTGGTATAATGAATGCTATGTACCTAGAAAGTACCAATCATTAAGTGATTTATTTCAATTCAACATGAATTCCAATGCCAGATATTTTCCTTCGAATATTGAGGCTGGACCCAACACAGAATTTGATTATAGTCCATTTGAGTCGAGGAAACCATTTCTCAAAGCTTCTAAAATGGATCAAGAGTTTGAATTTAAAACTTCCAAGAGTGGAGCTCAAAACTTAAAATACCTAGATAATTGTGCCGAGGAAGACAAAGTTGAGGATGAAGAAACTGAAAATATGGTTGATGAACCACCAAATAATAAATCAGATTCTACTAAGACAGAGGAGACACAATATCATAATTATCCACAAGATAATAGCGATAATAATTCAAGCTACAATGTCAGCAATTCTAATAAAATCAAAAACTTTTTAGCAACCAAGATTGAAAAACTTGGTTACAATAATAAAAACTCGTCTGACAAGGGAACATACCATGATGACGATGAAAGTTATCGTAATTCACCAAACTATACTACCAGTTCTAGATTTGAATCGGGAAGAAGCTGGATGTATACCCCCATTCTCGATAACATGCAGCCATTAGAACAAGATCAGAAACTCTATAAACTTCAATCAGATATTCTGACCCTTGCATCTTCTCTACAAACTCTAGATGAAAACGAATATAACTCTTCTCTTTGGATGATGCATTCTTTGGAAGACGTTAGAGATGACAATGGAGTCCCACAATGGCTGACTCTCAACTACAAAGATATGGAACTCTACTCGCAATACTTGGGTATGGAAGACGATAAGCTTTTCAACTTTAATACAGAAGATGACTATTTCAACTAATAAAACATTTTTTATATTTTTGCATATACATAATATATTCTTAAGCTGAAGCACTACTAGAAGATGGTTTAGGTGGTTCATCAGCACTTCTAATAGGTCCACCAGGATAATCTTGCCAGTTTTTGTTTTCAATTTCACCATTAACAATAGCAGCCAAAGCAACCAAAATCACAACGTTTAATCTCATTTTCAAGCCAATTTTTTGTATTTAAATTCAAATCAAAGTAGACCAAAGTGTATTTCTAAAGTTTCTAGTAAGACTTCAAAAAAAACAACGTAGAAAGAAAAACAAAAGGAAGGAAAAAATCATGAAAGGCAGCATTGGTCTCTTATATAAGCTGGGGTTTCGAAAGAATGCAAAATTTATGATTTTGTTAAGGTGCGCGCATTTTCTTAAAGATTTTGTTGACGTAAAACCCCAAAAAAGTTAAATTTGAGTTGGAACCTGGTTGTACTATCTAGTTTTCGATATTATGAGAGTGCCAGACGGTGAGTACATAGAGCTTTCGACGTATACGGGAGCTGGAGAAGGTGAGGAAGGACCAGTGATCGAAAACTCAGGGTTCAATTTCACTGACGAACAGTATAGGTTGATTTTTCATCGGTTAGGAGTAATTGGAGATGAAGAATTAGTATCGGAAATTGGTATCGAACAGGTTGCAATTCTGAGGGAGACGAGGTATATGCTTGATAAAATAGATAAGCTCAGTATAGATGATGCGATTGGGATATTGAGAGAGGCGATCTCCGAACATTTAGGTGACGTTAATTATCCCCATGACGATTATAGGCTATTGGAGAGATTGATTCAGTTGATTCCCCATGATTTTGATGTTGGTAATGATAAGAAGGAGTCGAAGGATACGCTAGAGGAACCGGTACAGTATGATAAGAAAGGAAAGAATCACTTACGTATAACTGATTGGAATTTACAAACAAGGCTCGAAGCAAGTTTGATTGCTTATCATTCACCATATCCAGAGATTCGGTCAATCGTTAGTCCATATGACGATCCTGATACTCCAGTAGAGACAGTGAGGGTTTACGTGATATCGCTTTTATGGACTTTGATTGGGTCAATTGTGAATAATACGTTTGTTCATAGATTACCTTCGATTTCTCTAGGTCTGCATACCGTCCAATTGCTTTTATTACCCAGTGGGAAATTATGGGAAAAATGTTTCCCTTATAACTCTAAGTTGAAAATTTTTGGTAAAGAATATAATCTTAATCCGGGACCCTGGACTTACAAAGAAATGATGTTAAGCACTATAATTTATTCGTGTTCTGCTGGTACGCCGTACCTGATCTATAACATATTTGTGATGAAGCTTGATCGCTTTTATGGCTTAAAGTGGGTAACGTGGTTATTTCAAATCTTATTTGCCTTATCGACTCAGTTTTTAGGATTTGCATTTGCATTCATCATGCTAAAAGTTTGTATATATCCGAAAAAGGCCATATGGCCCACTATATTACCAACTATCGCTCTCAATAGGGCATTAATGAATGATGAACCCCAATCATCCGGACCCAGAATTCCCCTTATTGGTAAGCATGTGTCCCGTTATTCATTCTTCTTGTATGCTTTCATTGCAAGTTTCATATATAATTGGTTCCCTTCATATGTATTCACATTTTTAAGTGACTCCAATTGGCCAACTTTTTTCAGTCCAAACCTGATTCATTTGAATAATATAGCTGGATTCCACCATGGATTAGGTTTTAATCCCTGGCCAACTTTTGATTGGAATATCATTGATTCCGCAAGTTGCTTAACAATTCCTTTTTATACTTATGTGAATCAGTACTTAGGGACTTTTCTCGGATTCTTGGTTATATTAATTGTTTATTATACTAATAACTACTGGACTGCTTATTTCCCAATTAATTCAAATCGTTTATTCAATAGTAAAGGTGAAGTTTATAAAGTGAGAGATGTTCTTGACGATGATAATGTTTTTGACCACAAGAAATACTTGAACGTTGGGCCCCCTTACTTTAGTGCTGCTAATTTAGTTCTGTATGGAGCATACTTTAGCTTATACCCCTTTGCAATATTGTACCAAATAGTGACCGAATGGGAGTCCATGAAGCAAAGTTTTATTAATATATACGATACTATACGGGATTCGTTCGCAAGAGATAAATATAGACATAACAATAATAATATGGGGAAATTTGCTAAAGATCCTCACTGCAAGATGATGATGAATTATAAGGAAGTTCCAAGTTGGTGGTTTATCATGATATTGATCATCAGTACTACGTTTGCGCTTATATGTGTTAGTATATATCCCACGGAAACTCCGATATGGGGTGTCTTTTTCATTATTTGTATCAACTTTTTATTCTTAATACCTATTACTGCAATTGCATCGGTGACTGGCTTCACGTTCGGCTTGAATGTATTGGTTGAGTTAATTGTTGGTTACATGATTCCAAATCTGGGGATTGCGTTAATCACGTTGAAGAGTTATGGTTATAATATTGATAGTCAAGCAAGTAATTATATCACCGATCAGAAATTGGCCCATTATACCAAGATCCCTCCAAGAGCTATCTTTAGGGGTCAATTAATTTCTACTTTGATTAGTGTATTGGTTGCACTTTCCATCGCAAATTGGCAAATCAATAACGTTGAAAATATTTGTGATTTGCAGCAAAAAGATCGTCTTCGGTGTCCAGGTGCAAATACGTTTTTCTTTTCAAGTTTGCAATTTGGGGAAATTGGAGTCGCTACATGTTTTGGTAAATCGTATCCGATACTCAAATGGTGTTTCTTACTAGGGGTGCTTTTGGTTATCCCCTGTGTCTGGTTTAAGAAAAACGGTCCTCCAAACCTAACTCGTTATTTCCATCCCCTGATTATCATAGGAGGGTTTCTCTTATACGCTCCATATAATTTACTGTACTATACTGGAGGCTTATACGTTTCTTATTTATTCAAGAAACGGAAACTTTTATCGGATGAATATAACTACATTCTAACTCTGGCATTATCTGCCGGGGTTGCCTTTAGTGCTTTAATCATTTTCTTTACCTTGAGTTATAATAATCAACTGCTAGATTGGTGGGGGAACAATATAAGTAGTCAAGGTATTGAAGGTGCTAGTCCTGCCCCTGCATGGTTGACCATAGCGAATGCTCCTGATGGCTACGTAGGGTTAAGAAAAAACCAGTACTGATCTTTTCCATAGCCTTTCTAGACTTTTTATAGAAATATATTTACCTTTATATTTGAATCGCGTGTTTTGTAAATAAAACGGTCAATGGCTCCAAAGCTTGACTTACCAACTCGGTCACCTTGCACCAAGGTGAAATGCCCATTTTGACGAGCCTCCACCTACAATTCGAGTGCCTTGTTCTCGAACATTCATGGTCAAAGCTTACGTTTAAGGTGAAGGAACCTTTGCAAGCTTGATGTTTTTGTTTGCCTTTTTTCTTTTTTTTTTTTTTTTTTTTTTTTTTTTTTTTGGGGCAATGCTTTCGCAGGCTCCACTGCTTTTGCAATCTTGCAACCGAAAAGCTAACAAAGTAACCTAGTCAAACAATGAAGCACTGGAGCATCACCATGAGCAATATTCAGTTAGGAGGGAAAGCTGGCTCGAAAACATTGACAAAGGCATTCAAAATTCGAGATGATCTAGTGCACCACCAGAAATACGTTGCATGCTTAATCACCCATTGGTACAAGCCCTGCTGATCTCAGGGTAATATGCATACCATATAATCCGTAATAGGGAGGGTTGGTGAATCGAGGAGCGATATATAAAGCAAAGGGTATTTGCAATTACAGGGAGAAGAGGTTTGTTGAATCAAGATCAAATCAAAAAAAAAAATGAAATTTTCCACTATTATAACTGCATTGCAATTAGTCCTTTTGGCACAAGCACAAACCGATAACAGCGTGAAAGCCGAAGAGGCAGCTGGAGAATCGATATATGATTTACTTAAAGTAAGATCGGAGCCATTATACGTTCAAAAACTAGAAAGAAGATCAAATTCATCTAGTAATTCTACCAAATCAAATGGTAGTAATAGTTCAACAAGCACATCTAGTGAAGACGGAACTAGTTCGTTCCAGCAAAGTACTAAATCCTCGTCGTCACCTGGATCAAGATTATGGAGTGAATACAGCTTACACGGGGCTGCTGCTGGTGTTCTTGCTTCATTTTTATTAGCATAAAAAAATAGTTTTTCTTGTATAATAGTTTAATAAAAGCTTTGATCGTTGAGTTTATGAATTCCGAAATGATAAGATAAGACTAACCTGTAAAGATAGTTAACTTAAACCTAAAAGAGTTAAAAAGCACTACAAGTCCCTATCAAACCAATATGTATATTGAATAAAGCTAATCAATGGCTATTTTAATCGACATTGCAAGACATAGTACAACCATTGCAATTATGAAAAGAACAATTACCCCGACTCCTAACCTAGTAGCTGGGTAGACCGACTTAGTTAGTAAGAATTGAGTATGATAAAACCGGAAAATACCAATTAATAAAGTACAAATCCCTAATACTATACATAGAGTACTCAATGGCTTGCCCAACCCTCTTATTATCTTTGATTTGTCATCGTAAACCAACTCTATTGCGGAACCATTGACCATCACTCTTGAAGATTTCTCTTCCAATCTAAATAGCTGGGCCACTCCAATCCCAATCGTCACAAACGTTAAGCTGGTTCTTAACCAAGCTAGAAACGTTCTTTCATTGGCCATCTACAAACGTTAGTAAATTCCGTAGACCCTTGGACTAAAGTGATATACATACATGATCTCTGGCAACTGAACCTTTATTCTCTAGCACTAATGCTCCGTAAGTCGGTAGTTTAAACCTGGGTTCTTCTTTATCGGACATTTTGTATTCGGTCTTCTTTTTTTGCAACTGTGGCGTCAAGCAAAGCAACAGGAAATCAACCGGTTTAAATCAAAAGGATTATCTGTAGATAACGAAGAGAGGAAAATTGTGGGAAACGTGAACTGAAAAGGCGGTAGTTTCCTAAACAAAAAAATGACCGCTCAAGATCAACTACTTCTTCTTACAATGTTGCCGGTGGAAGTATCGAGTTCTGAACCACGAGACGTGGGACAGCTTGAAAGGACGTACTTGCTGACGGTTAAGCTATGTGGGTATCTTATATTCACGGCCATTGGGCTATTGCTTGATTTCAAGATGGAGACGGGTGAAGTTGGAGGGAGTAATCCCAATTCCATTCTACTGAGGTATTCAGTTTTATTAACGTTTATTGTATTAGGGGTTTGTTTAATGAGTATAATGGTTAATTCGGTTAATTACTGGTTGACGGTGCATCGGTATGCGAATCACTCTATTTTAACCAAAAATTATAATATAATGAGTATTAGTTCGATGAGTTTAGTGTTTATTGTATTTGCTGGGGTTAATATTGTATTTTTATACTACGGATTTGCAGATGGATGAAAAATTATATTAGGGAAACAATTATACATGCACAGCATGAAGAGAAACAAAGTATATAAGTGTATAGAAATGCAAAATTAGGTATGAGTTTTTTTCAAAGCATCGGCAATATCACCAATGCTTATATCTTCATTATTGAGGTCCAGTAAGGATTCGACTGGTCTTTCAGCTTGACAACTAATTCTCATTCCGTGTCTTGCCGAGGTGTCATCGGCATAATCATTACAAGAACTGTGGGTGGTTGATCTGTTATCCCACATAACCACGGTATTTGGTTCCCAATTAGCTCTGATTTGTAAATCGTGGGATAATTCCAAATGTCTATATAAGAAGTCCAATAACATGGTGCTTTCTTCTTCTTTTAATTCAATAATTTGTCTTGAAAAAGGTTTATTGAGGTAGATATATTTTTCTTTTGTAACTGGGTGAACTCTGATTAAAGGATGAATATAACTAACTGGTTTTCTTCTTTCCACACCTCCTTGACCTCTTGAGTTGGAGGCTTGATCTTCAGAAGTATGTAATACGTGTAAACCTTGTAATCTTTGTTGGAAAGCAGGAGATAATCTTTTATAGGCTTCAACGTTATTGGCGAAAAGAGTATCACCACCGCTTTCAGGCCCTTCTAAGATACTGAAAATAGTATAACCAGGAGGTTGTAATTCAAAAGAACAATCCGAGTGCCATAAGATGGAATTGGTATTATTTGCGAAAACTCGTTCATCTTTTTCATCAGCTCTTCTATAAGTGACATGAATCGTTGGAATGTTTTTAGGAGCACCAGAAGTTGGATGAATATGTAACGGACCAAAATATTCAGCAAACTCAACACACTTCTGAGGACCTTGATGGGTGAAGTCTTGATCTCTAAAAGCGACAATTCCCCTTTCTGCAATAAAACGAGCCAAATCATTTTTAGCTTCATCATTTAATTGGGAAAGTTGGATCCCACTAATCACACTACCTAATTTGGGAGATAATTTCTTAACGGTATAATCACCGTCTTGTGGGAATAAGCTTTTAAATGAAGCATCGGCTTTCAAACCAGGGTCTTCGTATTTGAAAAATTTCAATGGTGGATATTTTTCATTTGGGTTCCAAGTTGGTAAGAAATCGGGAAATTTGGCAGTTGATCGGTTGGCCTTATTAATAACCAAAGTACCATCTTGATCGATTTCGTCCTTCCCTTCGACAAAGTGAATATCGTAGTTACCGTAGTGTTGATGATTAGACATAATAATGACTTGTTAAAGAAAGAAGAAAAAAATCTCTACAACCATGGGAATAAAGTCACTTATTTATAATTTTCCAAAGAAAGGCACTCAGCCAATGAAAATCGTTTGGCAATTTTCGGAAAACCTAAACGGCATGTAGTCACCACTATCAGCCCAGTATCAAATTTCAAAACAATCTCTTAATTTGAGTGATTTTAACGTAGTTGGCATTATATTAATTTAGTGGCCTACATTAAACTGCAAAAATCTGAGATCCTTGTTTGTTCACTACATCTCCTTCAACAACAGGCCCTTTTCACCCTCCTACAACCCACTGATAAGAAGAATTCCATGCTGATATTCACCGACCGCTCTCCTTAATCTCCCAACCTTCAAATGGGTTCAATTACCCATTCCATTCACCGATTCCCAGTTATCTATAGACTGTAAAAAAGATGCGAAATACGAAAAACGCAAAAATCACATGCAAAATGCAACCGTTTTTGGATCCACAGTTTTTTTTGGGTGGCCACTTCCGCGCGGTGCACGGGCCTGTTCTTTGGGGGTTAGCCAAAGTCACGTGTGCTGTTCTGATCCAACCACAATTCCCCAGTCACCATTGCATTCTATCACGGTACTTACCATCAGGGTACGCTATCATATTACAGGGTGTACAGGGTAGAAGATGCGGACCCCAGGAGATCGTCCGATGCGGTGTATTGTGAGTGCGGGCCAACGTCTTCGATGATGTGCTGTATTGGTGCATTGATGTAGTATCTTGATGTATTATGTTGGCTTATTATGGGATTATGTATTTATGTATGTTGATGGATTGTATTTATGATGTTGATGGGTTGTATTTATGTATGTTGATGGATTGTATTTATGATGTTGATGGATTGTATTTATGTATGTTGATGGATTGTATTTATGTATGTTGATGGATTGTATTTATGTATTATGTAAACGGTAAGAGATTAGATCTTTTTGGATGTTGCTTTAATTGGGAAGGAGGTCCTGTATAAGTCTGACAATTGCTAAATGGGCTGCTTCTTATACGAACAAGGAGTACGGGCAATGAATGGTCGTGAGACCCATAAACCACATGGCAGATGGGGAGATGTCTTATAAATAAGGAGAAATTCCTGATTGCTTCCACTTACTTTACTCTTTCCTATATTGAGAAATGCAATTAGGTACCTTATTAGCAGCCACTGGTTTAATCAGTGGAGTAATTTCTTCCAATTTGAAACCTCGTCAATACGGTAGCATCCATGCCGATAAGGATGTTGTAATTGGTGAAGAGCAACAGTTTATGCAAATCCCTTCAATTGCAGATTACCATGACGATGATTCTGATTGTGATGATGACTACTTTGTCTTTAATAAAAAGACCACTTTAACTGAATCCTCAGTTAAAAAGTCCAAATCTTCCAAGTCTTCCAAGTCTTCCAAGTCTTCCACGTCTTCCAAGTCCAAATCAAAAACTAAATCCTCTGGTGGTGAAGCCCTCAACCCCGCTGGGTTGTCTGCTGCTGCAGTCGCTGGTTTAATGGCTTTGTTATAAATACATATGGACTGTCTAGGAACTATACTGTAGATACCGTAGCTGAATCGTATAGAGTAGTGGCCGCTCGCCGGTTCCGGCACCGCTAGTCCGGGGAAAAAAAGCAGAGGTACGGAGGTTGTGCCCATGAGTCAGTGAAAAAAAAAATCGATTTAAAAACGTCGTCGCCTGTTTGATTATTTATATGTTTCTTCACCAACTCTAAACCATGTTCAACCCAAGTACTCGTGCTGCTGCTGGTGCAGTCAGTAAGAGGTTCATTAGAAACAAAATAACTTCGAGCTCGACCTCAGCACTTGCTTATAAAACTTTACATCGTAATCAAAAAAGACCTCCATTACCAACTTTAGAAACTCCAAATTGGTCAGCGGATGCAGCAGTTTCTTCTATTCTTTATGAAACTCCAGTTCCATCCAAGGCTCCAAGAAAACAACACGTTTTGAATTGTTTGGTTCAAAATGAACCAGGGGTTTTATCATCAGTTTCCGGAACTTTAGCCGCTCGTGGATTCAATATTGATTCTTTAGTTGTTTGTTCAACTGAAGTTAAAGATTTATCAAGAATGACCATTGTTTTAGGAGGTCAGGATGCAGTTATTGAACAAGCAAGAAGACAAATTGAAGATTTAGTCCCGGTTTATGCGGTTTTGGATTATACTAATGCTCAAATTATTAAACGTGAATTATTATTAGCAAGAGTTTCATTATTAGGTCCAGAATACTTCCAAGAATTAATCGCCACTCATAAATTACATACCAGTGAAGCAACCTCGATCCCTGATTTAAGTGCTACTGAACTGCAATTCCATCCAAATAATTTGGTTCCAAGTGAAGCTTTAAGACAAAAACATCTTCATTTAGAACATATTTCAACAATCACCGAAAAATTCGGCGGTAAAATCGTAGATATCTCCACTAGAAACGTCATTGTTGAATTAAGTGCCAAACCAAGTCGTGTTTCTAGTTTTATTCAATTATTACATCCTTTTGGTATTTTAGAAATCGCCAGATCTGGTATGATGGCTTTACCAAGAACTCCTTTGGATGGTAATAACGTCGAAGATGAAGAACCTATCGACGCTGCCGACATCGTCGACGCTTCTCAATTACCTCCTGGTTGAGTATTTATTAGTGTAAATATATATATATATTGTTTAATTCTATTGATTCTGTAAGATTTTGTTGGTACGAACAAAAAACAAAAAAAAAAAAAAACAATAAGTTTTTGAGAAATTACTTCATTTCACTGACTTTATTTCATACTTGGTTATACTCGACTGGACGCTTGAACAAAGGTCCTCATATTAGTGTTTCCTGTTTGGTGGATATAGAAGAAGACAAAGACTTGGGTTGTGCTATATTCGAATACTGTACAACACAAGAACAAAACAAACTCAAGGCAATTAAATTTCATATCCAATCGACTAACAAACTGGAATTATTAAATTACTCAATTATCAACTCTTTGATATTTTGAAGCTCTTGAGAAGATCTACTACCGTGTCAAGTACTCCAGTAAAGCCAAGATGGAAGATGGGTCATCTAACGAAATGTATCTGTCGAATAATAGTCAAGACATGTTGCATCAGTTTAACCAACAGCGACCATCCCAGCAAATGATGTATCAAATGCCAAATCATCTAGTCATTCCAAATCATGGTATACCCACTCAGCAGCAGCAGCAACATCAACAATCTCTGTCCCAATCCCAGTCCCCATCTCAAAACCAGCAACCGCTAACACAATACGGAATGATGGGTTTACCTCCACATTTACAGAATATACAATTGCAACAGCGACAGCCTCCTCAGCAGCAGCAGCAACAGCCTCCTCAGCAGCAGCAGCAGTTCATGGCCTCGCATCCTGGAATCATAAATCTGCATCCGATGGCTGTTCCCCCGATTCCACCTCAACAACAACCGTTACCACCTCAGTTCCAGCAGCAGCCTAATCAGCCCATCCCGTCAGCAGTACCACCACAACCGAAAAAGCGTACTAATAACGCAACTGCAGCGCCTACAAGAAGCTCCGCAGCCTATCCTCGAAAAAGAGCTTTAACTGCCTGTGATACTTGTAGGTTGAAGAAAATAAAGTGTGATAATGTTAGACCTAGATGTGGAGCTTGTTCTAAGAATGGGAACCATAATTGCCATTATAGAGTTGACGATCATACCAATGATTATTCCAGCTTTGATCCTGCTTCCTTAAATATATTAAGTAAACTTGATCTCATATTGAAAGATATCAAGGTATTGAAGAAAAACCATCACTCTAATCGTGATATTGATGATGTCGATGATGATGCAGATTACGATAGTGATGAGAAGAGTCCGACTAGAAAGAAACTCAAGCTTTCTAAATCGAAAAATAGTAATAAAAGACTCCATGAGTTCGATAAATGTGTTTGGGACATGTCTTTAACTTCAATATTTAAATGGGATTTTTTCAAAAAGCATGTTGACTCAAATACCATCCAAATCAATAAAAATATAAAAAAATTAATTAAATTATATTCTAAAAATCAACACGCTTCACCAAATCAGAAAACTTTCAAAGATCGTATTGCAAATTGCCATTTGGTGGAACAATTATTAGCTAATAATTTTTCATTTTTGATAAATAGCTTCTTTTTAAATTGTCATACAAAAGTTCCAATATTTGATATATTAGAATTATTAGAATGCATCGAAATCTATAAGTTAATGAAAAATACCGATCCAAAATTAACATTTATGGGTATTAAAGAATCCCAACCAAGAATGGAAGATGCAGATCTTGAATTAGAAATGGAAGATAATAATGAAAATGGAGAGTATACTGAGGGTGATTCGTATGAAGAAAATGTTGATGACTCCTTCCTACCCCCATTATTTTTTGAAGCTTTGAAGAAAAATAACGTTGAAGACACCACGTATAGAAGGAAAGCATATATTACTTTATGTCGATCAATTCCTTCAATCCTATTAATATGTGCATTGAGTGCAATATCCATGCCCGTTCAGTTAGACAATGTGGGAAGATTTGTGAACTCAAAAGAAGAATCTCAATCGATTTCAATTAGCTGTTTTTCGGAATCTTCTTTACCTGCTGGACTACCAGCCGATAGAATGGCTATAAGTCAGTATTTATTAAATTATTCTAATTTAATCCATACGTTGTTTCCTTCCACATTACAAGAATGTACATTAAACCCAGTTCAATATTATGTTTTGCTAAATCAATACCATTTATGTGCAATGAATCCATTGAAAGCTTATAATTCCATTGTCAAAGCATGTCATTCAATAATGTATTTATTACAAAGTAAGCGAAATATTCAAGACCCAACCATTCTTAATGTTAAAGCCGATTCAAATAAAAAACAAATTCTTGATCGAGTATTTTGGATTTGCCTTAAATTAGAATCTGAAATACGAGTTGAGTTATCACCTTATGTACCATCATCAGGAATCACTCAAGTAATCCCACCATCACCTTTCCCTAAAATTTCTGGAATCATTGGCGATGAAGAATTTTTAAATCATCATAGTCAGGAATGTATTAAACTAGCAAATAAGTATGATGACCAATATTCGTGGTATTACTATCTTACTGAAGTTGCCGTTCGTAAAGTTGACAATAGCATGTTTGATGAAATATTTTCTCATGACGCTGTACTTGATAAGAAATGGGATCAAGATTATTTTAGTGAAGTTGAACTATGGGAACTCTTTGTTAAATATTTGAATCAATATAATGGAATAATTAATAGTTTAAGTCCAAAAATAAGAAATTTTGTTTTGCAAGAAGTTAATGTTGAACAAATTTATAAGAGTATCAAGAAAAGATATAATAAAAAACAACTTAATATTAAAACTGAAAATGATATATTTGATGCATTGGATGATTTTCTAGTTGATGATGATTTATTATTAAAAGCACAATCTGAATCGATTATGTATATTAAAACTAGAATCATAACATCCAAAACAGTATTATTCCGTCCAATCATATATTTGATTTTAGAAGATAAAATAAGTTTCAAAGAAATTATTGATGCAGCAATATCAGTATTACCAATAATATCACAAATGAAGGAAGCCAATCAATTAAGTAATGATTTAGGAATTTTTTTAAAAGAAAATGCCGAAACTCCATCATTCCCAATGGAATCACCAGTTTTAAATGCTGGGATTGAAAATTCAAATAATAAATTAAATGATTTACTGCTGGGTTCAGGAAGTCATGTTACTTTTGAAGATAATGGACCTATCCATAGTAGTGAGCATATTGAATCAAGTATTGATGATGCCAAAGATCAAACTGATTTTGATTATTATGACTTACTAGAAGCACCATTACTTTACCAAAAACAATATCCAGATGAAGATTTTTCCAATCTTATTGAAGAACAAGGCAACATCAAGGATAGTATTAAATTAAAAGACGTTGAGCTTGCCAAAAATCGAATCCTTAGAGTGTTTTTCATTAATCTTATTACGTTACCCAAATTAAATATTCCTAAATTGGCAGCACATCGCCATCCTGGACTGTGGTATTACTTACGTAATTTGTTCATTGGAAGCATATACATGTATTTACTCTATAAAAAAGTTCAAAATATGATTGTTGCTGCTTCCACCGATGAATCTTTGAAATTACAGTTGGGAGCTAATCCAAATGGACCTAACTTGAAACAAATTATCGAAACCATCGATATGGTTTTATCTAAAGATAATGTTAAAACTACATTGGAATATGCATTGATCATCTATAATTATTGGAAAGATGAAAGTCAAGACTGCGTGGTTTACCACGACTATATTCAAAAATGCCTAAATGAATTATAAGCACGGCTAGTTATATAGAATTGTTTATAAGGTTTATATAGTTGCAACCGTTTCGCACAAATAATCAGTTTGAGAAACTCCGATATCGCATTAATTAATTTTTTGCATTATTTGGTTGAAAGCTGATATAAAGCAATGGGGAATAACGTTGTTAATTTTTTTTTTGACCAGAGAGCTGGTTCAATAGTATAAGATGGAAGTTAAAGCGGGATCAATTGATAACGAATGGCATAACTGTGATTACGAAATCAAAGAGCAGGATCGATATTTACCAATAGCCAATGGTATGTAACTGAAAGTTTGGGAACAACCGACCAGGTATACTAACTGAGAAGTAGTTGGTAGGGTGATGAAAAAGGCACTCCCAGCACATGCCAAACTATCCAAGGAATCCAAAGAATGCATTCAGGAATGTGTTAGTGAATTCATATCATTTATAACCTCTCAAGCAGCAGATAAATGTAAGATTGAAAAAAGAAAGACCCTAAATGGAGAAGATATCTTATGGTCAATGTTTACTCTCGGGTTTGAAAACTACGCAGAGACATTGAAAATATACTTGGCCAAGTACAGACAGGTATGTAATATGATGGGTTCAACCCTAAACATTATATTAACAAATTTAGTTTGAACAATTGGAAGCAGAAAGAAAACCACCAAAGAAAAAATCAAAAAGACCTAAAAACCTACCGGAGTTTGAAGAAGCTTACGATGACTTTGAAAGTGGCTCTGAGGAGTTGAGTCCCGACCCCAAACCTCATCTCAACTACAATACCAACGAAGATTTCACTAATTACTTGGAAGCCTCTGGCTATCCCGATCCTCGACGCCTAAAGCCTCCTCAGCTGTCGATTCGACATGCTTCCAAAGATCAGTTGGATCTCAATGAGTTTGTCGGTGACCTCTCATGATTAAATACGATGTTATGACTTGTAAATACCCTTATATACTTTATATTACTCGAATTCTAGACCCATTTGCAACCACTTAACCGAGTAGATTAGACGATTCTTCCCATGCCCTCCTACGCGTGTACCTGGCCGGGTCTTCTGTCATTTCCCTCCCTTCTTTTGTCTCATGTCTTACGGCTTTTGTCGTCCTTTATCTTCTTTTGTGTTTGTCTTCTTTACGTGTCCTCGACTCCTTTCCCACGACTGTGGTTAGTAATGGGTCCCCTTGTCTACAACACCGAAATTACGGTGGGCCGGTCCTTGTTTGGAACAAGAGCCTCGACCGGTGTCTAAGCAGCAGCCTCTACTGCAGTCTGACCACTGTTCCGTTCCCTTTGGACTTGAAACATCAGCCAAACCCAACTATTTCGTGTAATCAAAAAAAAAAAAAAGGAAAGACCCAAACATTTTTGGTGATTAATTACATTTTTGGAAGGAGGTCAAAAACATAAAGAAAAAAAAAAAGTTGGAAAAATTAACCGCTGAATTTGTTTAACCAACTCCTTTTGATATCTTTTGATATTCTTTTGATACTCAGGTATACACGCTTACGGTCTAGTGTAACACAGCGGATAGTAGGTGTAACAGAACAGCGGATAGCACTATAACGTTGAACGATCTTGTAACTGGTGGGATATAGAAGGTACCTAACTACAATCACGTCTCTTGACTACAACAATCACGCCTTTTGGTAGTTGCTGCTGGTAATCAGGTTTAAATAGTTGAACAAATAACATTAGCAAGTCTTATTTGAAATTGCTTTATTGAATCATGATCAAGTCATTTAGAAGGAGTAAAAGAAGTTCTAATTCGTCGCCTTCTCCTAAAAAGGCCATATCTAGAATTGGATCTACTAGTAGTAGTCGAGATTTAGATGAGTCTAATGATGCTGTACTCCAGTCTCCGAAGAAGGTTATTAAAGCTTTGTATGACTATATACCTCAAGGACCGGGGGAATTACCTTTTAAACAGGGAGATTTTTTCCATGTAATAAATGATGATCAAGAACGTATAGGACAAAGTGAAGAATTGAATGGTTGGTATGAAGCCACCAATCCAATGACCAATGCTAGAGGAATGGTTCCAGTATTATATTTTGAAGTTTTCAATCGTTCAAGACCAATTCAAACCCCTTCAGCTCCAACTCATATAATAGATACAAATAAGAGTCCTAATTCTTCTAATCACCAAAGAAATTCTTTACAGACTTTATACGCGGTCACCTTATATGAATTTAAAGCAGAACGGGATGATGAATTAGATATCATGCCTGGTGAAAATTTAATAATTTGTGCTCATCATGATTTCGAATGGTTTATTGCTAAACCAATTAATCGTTTAGGTGGGCCTGGCTTGGTTCCGGCTTCTTATGTTAAAATTATCGATTTAGTAAATCCAAATAATGCTCATACAATGGATGAAGATATTATAAAAGTTATTAATAAATTAAAAATTCCAACTGTTGAACAATGGAAAGACCAAACTGCTAGATATCAAGCTTCCACTATACCTTTAGGTTCAATCTCAAATAATGGTCCAGCAGTCACTTCTTCCAATACTCAATACTTTCAAAAAGATCCTCAATCTGATGGTAATAGTTATAGATCTTCTTTGAGTCTTACAAATACTAGAATTTTAGAAGTTTGTGTTGATTCTTATCTTTTAGATCATGGTCGTTATCAATATCATGTTATCGCTAGATTAGATAATGGTAAAATCCGTTATTTATATCGTTATTATCAACATTTTTATGATGTTCAAGTTAAATTATTAGAATTATTTCCTTATGAAGCAGGTAAAATTGAAAATTCAAAAAGAATCATTCCTTCAATTCCAGGTCCTCTAATTCATGTTAATGAAAATATATCTAAAATGAGAAGAGAAAAATTAGACTATTATTTACAAAATTTAGTTGCCTTACCTCCTCACATTTCAAGATCAGAAACTGTCTTACAATTATTTGAAGTTTTAGATAATGGTTATGATAAAGAAATTATTGAAAGTCCTAAAAATCGCACTTCCAAACCAATTAGTCAAAAATCGAATTATCAACAAGATAGACTTTCTCAATATTCGGGTATTTTACAAAATTCAAATAATAGAAGTTCTTCTACTCCAAATTCTTCCGATTCTGCTTTGAATAGAATTTCTTCGTCTTCTTCAAATAATAATAATATCAATAGTATAAATGCTGCCGGTGGTCTTGCAGCTCCAGTTACCACTTCTCCTGCTAATCCCCATCCTTCTGCTCCTCCTCCTCCAACTGAAAATAAACAACCAAAGGTTAAAGTTAAATTCTATTATGAAGACGATATTTTTGTGTTATTATTACCAACCAATTTACGTCTACAAGATTTAAAATCTAAATTGGCTAAAAGGCTTGATTTACCAAATAATGAAGGTTCTCCGTATGGTGGCTCGGGAGAAGATAACACTACTGAAGACTATGTGATGGTTGAAAATGGACGGAAATCTTTTAAAAATGTTCAATTGTTCTTGAAAAATGATTACGATGACTTTGTCGAAGAAAATGGCCTTGAAAATACCGATTCTTTCAATGATATTCATAAAGAAAAATTGAGAGAATTCGAAATCTTCAATGATGAGAGATTTCATGAAAGTTTATATGATAAATGTAAAATCGTCATTCTTGCACAAAACTAATCTCTCCATCCTAATGGTTACATGGAATCTATTTATTATCGGCAGAAACCACCGCTTTCTAACTGAAAGCTCATTGGTTTCCTACTTTCTTTATGTACTTTTTTGTTACTTTAATCTGTTTTTTTTTTTTTTATTATCTTTCCTCCTTGTCTTATTTCCATTCACTTTGGCGTCATCGGGTTATTCACATTCTATTTATTTCCAACAATCCTCTAATTCTGTTCATTTTTATAGTCATGTATGTATTATAGTGTATGCTAAGGTAGTAATAGACTCTAACTTCAATCTTCATGATTATTGTAAAGACGCGTTAAAAAACTAAAAAAAAATTAATTTTTAAAAAAAAAAAAAAAAAAACAAACTGAAACCATAAAGACGAGACCATCGATCTACTCAAAAGAACCACTCATCGAGAAGCTGAAAACAGGTTTCTGGGTTCCGTACTCACCTTCATTATTTTTGAAAAACACACTCGTGTTTTGTTAGTCCAATTGCAGTGACCTGCTTTAAGATCATTAACCTTTGTCAAACTCATCAAGATGGGATTACTTGACTTGTTTCTGGTCTTTAGTCGGCTGGCCAAACCAACTGATAATGAAAGAAGTAGCAAGAAGAAAAGCAGCCGATCTAAGTCTGCAAAGAAGGATAAGACACAAGGGCTAAAGAAGAATGACCTACATCGTGCTTCTACTCCTGCCTTACCACGTCTTGCAAAACCGAAACTAGCGCCAATTGAACTGGATGATTCAAGTGATGATTCGTCAGGAATACAAGGCCAACCTAAAGAAAAGAAGATATCATCCTCCTCATCTATATCTAAAAGCCAAGCAAGAGAACTGAAAAAGAAAAAGTATAAGAGCTATATCCGAACCCAAGGAAGTCTTGTGATTAATCCTTCATCTGAATCTGAAGATAGCGATGATTATCAAAAGCTGGTTAATAAAAAGAGAACCTCTCCTCGTCTAGTTGATCAAAAGACGCGAGTATCGAAGAGTAATAGCAGTATACCGAAAGATGCTGACATTGTATCAATTTCAGATAGTTCGCATGAGGGAACAGCCGTTCATGATTCTATTGTAGTTGATTCTGAATCACCTGAAAATTCTGACAACGAAGATCAGTCGATTCATAAAGGGCTTGAAACTAATCGAACGAAACGTAATCGAAAGCGTCGTGCTGGTAAGAAAAGGAAAATGATGAGACAGCTGGGTCGACTGAAAGAAGAGAAGAAACAAAAGCTCAATGAAAGGGCAAAAAATAAAGTAATTGATCCTGTCAAGAATCAGGAAGAATCTTTATCTAAGGAAACACCAAAGATTGAATTTACGATGCCTTCTGACCACGAGAGTGATGATTCTTCAGAGAGGGAGTTTAAAGAATTGGGTATAGTCAATCGTACAATTAATATCACCAGAAGAGCACAACCAGACAACACAGAACGAGGTTCTGAAGAACCAAAACAGTCCCAGACTGAACACAGTATTCAGGCGGATGAAATGAGTGACCCCATTGACGACTCGCTCAGTGATACCAGTAGTGATTCCAGCGATGATACTGATGAACTTATTGCTGAGCTTGCGGGCATAAAGAATCAAACCATCGAATTCATTCCCAAAACCGATACAAACACACCTAAATCCCCGCAGAAAACTACATCTCCCATAGTCACGGCGCTTGAAGAGAGCTCTTCTGACTCAGACTACCCTGAAGAACTAAGGAAAGCTAAGTTTAAACCGAAAGTGCTCAACTCTTCGCCTATCCCTCGTCGTTTTACAAAAGAATCAACTGAGAATACAATCAGCAAGAGTCAAGAAGATAAGAATTCTAATACGCTGTTTGCAGGCCAGGCAAATAGTGCCACCTCATCATCCCCTTTGAGGTCGTCGTCATCATCCCCTTTGAGGTCGTCATCATCATCCCCCTTGAAATCCGACAGTCTGGATTCATCGTCTTTGTTGAATTCGTCATCAGATATCAATAGTTCTTCAGATGAAGATACTTCTAGCGATAATCTGTCTTCAGAAAGTGATTCTGATGCAGCTGAGCTTGAAATGGCCTTGAAAAATAAAACGGAGAACAAAATTAAAGACCAGTCACAAAATCTTAGTGACACTTCTCATTCGGACAATGATATCAATGATTCCGAGATTATAAACACCGAGATGGATACCTCCGATTATTTCGATGATAGTCTACGAAAAGCAGCCATGGAATCGGTTTTGAAAACTAAAAGCAACAATATACCAACGTACGTAGGAAGAAGTGAAAGAAAAGAAGAAGACATCATCAAAAAAATGTTGGCCCGTCGCTCTACCACGAGACATCAGCTGCTGCCAATGGCAGCTAAAACTAGCAATATTCTACCAGTAACAAACGAAGAACCAAAGAATACCTCCGACTTACCAAACTTCATTCTCCAATTAGCTAAAGGAGACCACGATTCCAAAAAAAGCAAATCACGCAAGTAAGCCTCCATCGAGAGACCATTTATTTAATTCGATTTAATGAACTAGAACGATTATAGAGGAATAACATTATGTAGAGAACTTTTCTAATTGTTGCAACTTTTGACATGGCGAGCAAAGCCCGTACCGAAAAAAAAAAAAAATCACTATATAAATAGAGGAAAGCGCCTTTTTGAAGCAAACACCGTCATATATCCTTCAATTAACCTTCAGAAGTATCAATTGACTATTCAAAAATGATTTCTCCAAAGTTTTCGCTTACTCACTACTCTTACAATGCTAAAACATTGAGTAGTCTCAACTCAACTACGGCTCCTCATATAGTAAATTTATATTTGGACTATAACTGTCCCTTTTCAGCAAAGCTTTACTTAAAATTCAAGTCTTCTGTTGTGCCAGAGTTGAATAAGAAACATCCAGGCTTGTTTCAGTTTGTTTTTGTTAATGTGGTTCAACCATGGCATCTGAATTCCATTTTTTTAAATGAATATTCAATTGTATTTGCCAAAATCTTGAGAGAGAAAGGTATTGATAATTCTAATGAGCTTTTCTGGAATGTTTCCGAAGTTCTTTTTGCCAATAAAGAATCATTCTATGATACTTTCAATGTTAGCTTGAATCGTAATGAAATATATCAGCAAATTAATGATTTGGTCTTTGATAAACTCTCAATCCCATTTGATAAAAAGGAAGTTTTAAAGGGTCTCACTATCGACTCCAATGAGTCTAATCCAAATAACGAGGGTAACGATGCTACCGCTGATATCAAATATTTTACAAAATACTTAAGAGGTGTTGGTGTTCATGTAACCCCAACTGTCAGTGTTGATGGTATTGCCAACGGTAATATTTCAAGTGGTTCTGAACCTGAAGAATTGATCAAGATTTTAGAATCTAGTTTATAAAAACCAATTTCAACGATAAAATTATAGCGTTGGTGTCTCTACTTGAATGAAATAAATATTTCTATTAAGTTTCTGTAGATATTTGGCAAGCTCCATATAGTTAAGGTCTTCCCCAGACTTCTGACACTTCAAGAGTACTAAAAATATAAAAAAAGAAATGGCGACAACTGCAGGATTCGAACCTGCGCGGGCAAAGCCCAAAAGATTTCTAATCTTTCTCCTTAACCACTCGGACAAGTTGCCATTTTATACAATTTTTTGAAAATTGTAGTAAACCAGTTCGTATATTATTATTAATAAATTTGAATCGGTATTAAAATGGTTTTCTTTGTTTCTCTAATAATCTACTATTTAGAAGACTTTTTGCAGTTTTCTTTTATTACAAAATACTTCTGAGATAAAAAAAATTTCAACTTGATCTGCGTATTCCAGTTTTCATTTTATTTTATTTTTTTTTTTGGAATTATAGATGTATTTTGTTTGATATCGGCATGATATTCCAAAGATATCATAAGAGTATTAATAATGTCACTAGAGTTCTATGAAACTACCAAAGTTTGCTGGTGTTCGTTTCTGTGGAGCTGCTTCGGGAAATGTAAAAAGTCTTTACAAGGGCAAGGGTTATGTATTTAAGAAAGAACAGAGAAGAAAGAAACAATAAAAAACAAAGAAGAGAAGAGAAGCTTCGGCATATTCAATAATTGTCCTTGAATATTGCTTTGGCTGACAGCTACACCCTTTATTACAGGAAATTCTTTCATAGTATCCTCCTAAAACTGTCAACCTCAAAGGACCCACTTAGCAGAAAGCTTTTTCTCCATAGTATATCTCTCTCTTCTCTTCTCCTTCTACTGTCCTCTCGAGATGGTTTGGCTGTTAAATAAGACGATTATTTTGCAGTCTTTCAACGGAGAATTCTGTGTGCGGCTCTCAAAAAGTTGGAGAAAAAAACACGACGTTGACAGATTGACAGCCTTAGATCTTTCTTTGAAGTATCTACAGATTTCAATTGGGGAGTCTTTGCTAATTGGGTTCCAGGAAAATAGTACAATGGCCAGGTCAAACTCCAAGAAGAAGAGTAACACAGGTGCAAAGGAAGGAAGTGTGCCAGTACAACAAGCTGGGTCTCAGGATTCAAGTTCACCAAGTACTCCATCAAAGAAAAAGGCTGGAAAAGCAAAAGCAAAGACAATTAAGAGCTCCAAGGATTCCAAGGGGTTGAATTTGGGTGTTTCTGATACTCCTGGGCTTTACAAAAAATCAAGTCCAATGAAAGATTCACCAGTATATGATTTATTGCATACGTTTGAAAAAGCACCCGATCAATGGGCAGCACGATATATATTGATACTTAGTTCTATAATATTGCGGGCAGCCATTGGATTGGGCTCATGGAGTGGTAAAGGCCAAGAGCCTATTAATGGAGACTTTGAAGCTCAAAGACATTGGATGGAAGTAACCATTAACTTACCTATCAAAGAATGGTATTTCTACGATTTGGAATATTGGGGGTTAGATTATCCTCCATTAACAGCATATCATCTGTGGTTCTTTGGTAAAGTTGGAAGTTTGATTGAGAAAGAGTGGTTTCAATTTTTCACTAGTAGAGGTATTGAAACTTCAGGAATCAAAACTTATATGAGATGGACAAGTTTGATAAGTGAATTGGTTATATTTATACCTGCAGTATTACAATTTATATCCATAATGGGCAAAAAACTAAATCTAAGAAGAATAGACCAAATTGTTTTAGCAGCTATCATATTGAACCAACCATCTTTGATCTTAATTGATCATGGCCATTTTCAATATAACTCAATTATGTTGGGATTGTTTTTGTTCCTGTTAATCGATTTGATAAAAGGTAATTTTGTTTTAGCATCTGTTTGGTTCATGAGCTCTATTCTTTTCAAGCAGATGGCTTTATATTATGCACCCTTCATATTTTTCTTCATTTTATCCAAATTATTTATTGTTAAGCCTGGTAATAGAAGTTGGTTCAAATTAATCAAAACTTTAAACTTCACTAGATTGATATTGATTGGTGTTACTATTTTCATTACAATTATCACTATATTAAGTCCATTTATTATTCTGCCAATCATTAAGAAAGAAGTCAATCAGATTCCTAAGTTGATTGGCCAAATTGTATATAGAATGTTCCCTTTCCAAAGAGGATTATTTGAAGATAAGGTTGCAAATTTTTGGTGCACCACTAATATTTTAATCAAATATAATAAGCTTTTTAGTCCAGATGAATTAAAAAAATTATCTTTGGCATTAACTTTGTTATCAATTTTACCAGCATGTTTAATAAGTTTTTATAAAAATGTTACTAAAGTTGCCCCCTCTCCTATGTTAATAATATATGGGTTTAGTTCATGTGCATGGGGTTTTTACCTTTTCTCTTTCCAAGTTCATGAAAAGAGTGTTTTAGTACCTTTGATCCCTTCAACTTTATTAATCATGATTAATAATGAGGAGACCATATCTATTATTCAGTGGATTAACAATATCTCTTTGTTTTCAATGTATCCATTATTGAAAAAAGATGATTTGGCCTTACAATATTTTGTGATGCTGTTAACTATTAATTGGTTGATTGGAGGCTTTTCAATGAATTTGAATAAGAATTTATTGTGGTCCAGAAATTTATTTTGGAAATTAATAATTAGTGGATCATATTTGTCTATAATTGCCTATCATTTAATTGACTATTTTGCTGAACCTCCATCTAGTTTGCCTGATTTATTTGTTTTATTGAATACAACTATTTCGTTCGGATGTTTTTCATTATTTTATTGTTGGTTAATCTACAAACTTTATAAACTATAAAAAAAAAATAAATAATTTAATTACAAGCTGGAAATTGAATCTTTTCCTTCATACTTCTATCATAATTGAATACCCCCCATTCTGTTTCCCAAGAATTAGAATCTTCATAGAAAATTTTTTTCCAAGGTTCATCAAAAGCTTCAAAATAATACCAACCATAATCTTTTTGATAAGCTTCACAAATGAAATTATTTAAAAAATATTGAAATGACTTGAAATTTGCAACTGATTTTTGAAATGATCCACCTTTAAAAGGCCATCCAACTTCAGTTATTATAATTTTTGGCTTTTGTCTAACTTTCTTCAACTGAGGCTCAATTTGGTATTTCAAGAAATCGTAAGTCCAATTAATAGATTTTGAAACATCTTCACCACCAAAGAATGGATGAATATTTGCTCCAATTACATCACAATTATCGATTAATTTATGATTAATCAAAGAGCCAATTTCCGATGTTCCAATTGGAATATTAGATTTGTTTATTTTTTTTAAAAACAACTTTGTATCATTAATATAACTTAATAATTCATCTATTGACTTATCTTTTCTAAATAGTACTTCATTCCCGATGTAGATCGAATTAAAGTAAGATTCTGGGAACTCCGATAACAATTTTTGCATTTCATTTAATTGTTTATTATTTATAAAATCATTATCGCCAATCCAAACACCTAAAGATAATGACATATTTAAATGCAATTGTTCAATTGCCAGTAAAACGTAATAAGCTTGATTGCATTGAGTCCCATAAGTTTTCAATCTTGTTGTAGTGGTGGAAAGTAATGCTAAATCATATAAGACGTCTTGTTGAGTTAAACCACAATTAGGTTCCATTGCATTTTGAGGACTATAAGCTAACCCATAAAACAAAGTCCCGTTTAAATTTTGTTCCATTAAATTTTTAATTTGTCTATCATTTTGATAAACGGGATTTATACTGGAAAAGGTGTTATAACCATTCAATTTAGCACCTTCTAACTCAATTGAGTTAGATATTCTTTTATCGTAGTTAGTAGTTTGCTTAAGCGAAAGCGATTCATTTTTTGGAGAACCATTAGTATTATTAGGGATCATATGAAGGGATTGAAAGAATTCATTACGGGTGATTGGATTTAAACTATTGATAAAATTTTTAGTTGATAATGAATTTCCCTTTATTGAAAAAAAAACTGCTGGAACCAAGGCACCAATTAAGATCACTATTATCAAGAATAGAACCATGGATACGATATAAAACTTTTTATTTGATTTGGTTGTTATTAGTTTAATTTCTTTCAATGAATTACTTTTAATTGAATTACTTTTAATTGAATTACTTTTAATTGGGTTATTTTCAATTGAGTTGTGTGAATTACTTTTGATTGATTCGTTTTCATCCATTCCAGAGGTCACCTCATGAAACAAAGACTTAGAAGCATTTTTGTTATCCACAAGGATGCTTGAACCGGTAAGAGCAGTCAATTTTCTAGGAGGCAATTTTGGTGGATTCAAAGGAGGAGTTGGATTCGTGAATGAAGGTTCAGCCAAGGGGGTAGTTGAGTACCCATTATTGCCCAAGCTTATCAAGGGAGAACTCAAGGAGGAATCTAATTTCAATTTTTTGTTGATCAAGTTATTAGCTGGAGAGTCTGTCACGGATAATAGAGTTTCGTTGAAGATGCTTTGACTATTTGCACTATCTTTCAAAGGACTTGAGCTTCTTTGAGCAGGCAACACCACAGGAGAGTTGAATCTGAATTCTTCCTTATCATACCTGTTGAATCCTTCGTTTTCACTAACTGCTCTATTCTGATTATAAGGATCTAATTTAGAATCAGTTTTACTCAACCATTGGAAGGGATAAAAACTGGTGGACACCGATTGCAGTCTTGTGACTTTGCTCTGGGGTTTTTTAACCCGGTCTCCAGCGGCGGGGTGGTGGTAAGAGACAGCTCTATTGGGCTTTTCGATCACCATTACTGTTTTTGCAGTCAACGGAGACTAGTTTGTGCAGCCAAACTTCTTTTTTGGGGTTTTTTTTGGCCGTTTTCGGTTCGTCCACAGACCAGTTCCAGGTGCAGGATGTTGAAAAATTTCCTACGCCATTAAGAAGAAGCCAATACAGAAGAATAATCGTAGACGTAAGTATTAAGAATTAGTGTACAGAGAAGTAAATATTAGTTATTAGAATAAGTTAAATCGGGGGGTGCCGATTTGTCAATATGGAATATGAAGAAATTGCAAATATGCAAAAGAATAGTTGAAGAAAAAGTGAAAAAGTCATTAACATTTACAACAACCAACCAAGATGTTACCACAGATGGTGGCAGCATTAGTGAGACAACCTTCTCCGTCGTTTGGACAACAAGCAGCCAACAAACCGAAACAAGTCATGAATTCGATACAAAACTCGGTACAGTCATTAGAATCCCTTTGGTACCCACTGTTGGCGTAACTGACGGAAGAATGGTCATCAGACAAGGAATCATCGTTGGAAGCACGTTCTTTAGGGTTTTGGAGATGGTTACTATCGTTATCGTTGTTAGAGGTTGGTAATTTTGGTTCTTCGGTACTACCGGGTTGGTATGTTATGGTTTCATCATTATCTTCCTCTTCGTTAAAGGTACCTTGGTTTTCAACGTCTTTAGCACTGAGAAACTCTTTTGGTTCTTTTTGAGGAGTTGGTTGAGTTACTTGGAGTTCTGGAGCTTCTGCTGCCGATGCTGTTGGTGCTGTACTAGACATGTTCGATAAACTTTTTTCTAAGGGCAATAAGAGGAATCCTCTAGATAACAGGAATCTAAACTATATTTAAAGCAAGGAAAAAGAAAGTTCAACTGAAAACAAAAGAAAAGGTACAACCTTCCATCTAAATTTGAAATAAAAAAAAAAAAAAAAAAATTTTTTTGATACTTAGTACCACAAAATTTTCACTTATTCCAACGCAAAATAGTGAAAAGGCGTGTTAATTATCTCTTCTAACAGTTTATTTACATATCTAAAAGAACAATCTTGATATTTCTATTGACAATTAGGCCCTTTTACAGTTATTAGAAAAAAAAAAATTTTTTTTTTTTTTGTTTCCTTTTAGAAAAACGACAGACATAAACCAAAACTGACAAACGGAAATATTTCCTTAGTGTATTGATCTACTTCTAGCATTGTCATGTAGTATTGACTACCCGGTTGATCCACTAGTTCAAAATGCTTGCTTTTGCAAGATTCCTTTCAATTTCAGAGGAAACGGTGTAAGTAACGTAAGGCTTGTTCTATTGTGTCCAATTGCCGATTGTGACACCATTTTGCTCAAGATAACAACCCCTTCCTCTTGTTTTACTACCTGCAAATCTCAGTCTTCACTGAGAAAATTCTCACAATTAACTCGGAGGCTAAGTCTGTTTCACTCCTTATGTAACCCATTATTCCCTATTCCAATTAAGCTTTAGATTTGCTTGCTTGCAAAAGACAAAAGACCCAATAGCCTCATCGCTAGAAACGAGTACACAAAGCTTTTGAGTTCTAGATTCTTTTAATTAAGCCCGTACCCATGGAATGTCGTGGCTGGATGTCGTGGATCGGGGGGGGGGGGGATCAAAGCTTTTGGAGGGTGCGCGACATTTTTATGCCCATCTCCAGCTGGGGCCATCTTCTTGGGTATGGGTGGTTATGCATTAGAGACAGACCCGCTTGTTAAGGATAAGTTGGAGCTTCTCCGGCTCTATTTCCCACTGTTTGACCAGGAGGTGCTCAAGGAGGTGTTGGGGACGTGTAATGGGTCGGTAGACCAGACCAAGTTGCTTATTAATGGCAGGTCAGGAGAGAAGGGGAATCTTTATCAGACGTCGATAGTGAAGAATGAAGTACGTCGACCAATTAGCCAGAAGAAGGTGGTTACTCTCAACACGCCGGAAGAAATTGATAAGACATTGGGTAAATACGTTTGTTTAAAGCGAAATTTTTTACCTAAGGATTTTTTAGAAATTTTGATTTTGCATTTAGAGTCGATTAAACATCGGACGAAACCGAATGAATTCTACTTATTTGAACAGAAATGTAAAGCCAATCATTCATCATTGTTATTGTATAAAGAAGAAATCAAACTACCCATAGTTTATAATGGATTGAATATTTCTAAAACTCAGAATAAATTTGATTCAAATTTGATGGTTGTATCTAATTTGATAAATGATTTCATAAACGATGAAATCATACCCAATTCAACAAAATTGCCATATCAGCAACCTAAATTTGATTCAAATGCTTGTGTTGTCAATTACTATTCAAATAATTCAAATAATTTAGATTGGCACTCCGATAGATTATCCCATATTGGGCCTCATAACTTCATTGCATCATTATCTTTAGGTCTGACTAGATATTTCAGATTGAGAAAAAATTATACTGATAAAACGATTTATCAAATACCTTTACCTAATAATTGTTTACTAATTATGAAACCTGGTTGTCAAGAAGAATTTAAACATTGCGTTCAACCAATTAATCGTTCTTTACAATTACATCCAACTCTTGGAACTGCAAGATTTAATCTAACCTTCAGGTATTATCCTCCTAGCTTCATTAAAAACTTACCGATATGTAAATGTGATTTAACAATGACTTTGAGAAGAAGTTATAAAACCTTAGCAAACAGAGGTAAATATTTTTGGAGTTGTGAAAATAAGTATCAAAATAAAGATTGTGGTACTTTCCACTGGGCTAACTTCAATAATAAAAGTTTAATTGCTGATAATAATGACAATATCTCTTGTTGGATTGCAAATGACGATTTTGAAAAATTAAATCATTTAAAAAATTCGCAACCAATTTCTCAAAACCTACAATAGCCATTATAACCAGTCTGATATCAACAGATCGACCTTATGAGACCTTCGGCAACTACTTTGTGTTTTTCAAAGTTTTCGGCTAATAATTACGTAATGCTCTTGCAGATTCTCTTCCAATATTCCGAATTGTATTGTAATGCATCTTCACGGCTGTAAAACTGTAGAATTTTGGTTCGAAACTAGACTCTCAGCTGGTTCAAAAAAAAGAGTTGCAAAAAAAGAAGAGTCTACAGCACGATGGTTTCCATTATGGTCTCCCACTAACGTACTCAGCATCGCTCTCAGCAGCTTAATAATTATTGATCGGACGGGTAATCATGCTTTATGCTGGATATGGCCGTAGACGTCAAACTCAAATTTGGGATCTTTATGTAGACGCTTATTTAGAGACAAAATAAAATTCACTTAGCTTTGGAATTCTCGCTGGAGGCCGATTTATAAGGGCTTTTTTAACTCCAAAGGTACATATGGTATCAATAATTATTATATATTAGTTTTGAATCTGATAGACTTTTTTTCAAAAAAAATTTGGATCGAGTCTCTCTGGTTATGTAGGTGGATCGGACTTATAAACGGCCACCAATAACCACGGTACTAGATATAGGTTCTAGTACGTTTGAACATAACACGAGAGTAATACTATTAGTTAATTACATAGTAATTCTAGATAAAATAGCGGATTAATTAAATAATTTCGGTTCAATTTTTTGACGTTACACCATGGCAAAGCTTTTTACATCGAAAAGACCTTGAATTCATTCAAAAGACAATTTGGAGATTAATTTGTGAGCCACCATTAGTTTTAACAAGGGAAGTTTGGAAACACTATTAAACTAACGAGATGAATTCGACCATTTTTATGATAATCCGGAGGGTTTTATTAAATCAAAATTGCCCCAAATTTCGGAGTCAACAGCTGGTTGACGTCCTTCAACCCATATGCAACACATAATGGACCACGCAAGTAAGAATGTTTCCCACTGAGCTGGAAATATTTACTTATACATATGCAGAAATCAAGCTTCCTTTATGGGCTGACTCGATAATGTTTCGCAATCATTTGTAATAGACCATTACAGCAGCTGCATACCTTCATTTTCTCACAAATTCTATCCTATAATCGTTAAGAAAGCACGAATAGTCAAAGAATCAAGAGCTCTGAGTGTTTTGGCTTAATTTTTCTTTACTGAAATAACTCTTGAGATCGTATCTAGTTAATAGGAATAAGTCTTCTTCCTTAAAAACTCAAGCTATGTTCTTCACACTTCGTATAATTTCCTCCATTCACGTTTCTTTGAAGGTTCACCTTTCTTTTCAATTCTCGAAAGATTCTTACTGCGTATATTTGTCAGACCTTGAAGGTCTGCAGATGATGTACTGGCCTATCTATANTGATAGGTACAATACATCATCAAATGAAGACATAAATTATATTTAAAGTTTGTGTCAATCCATAAATGAGGCATTCTGATAATGTGCATATATAAATAAATAGGCATTTCCATGTTAAATGGAAAAATCTTCTACTCGACGTGGGCCGTGGACCAAAGTGATGCTTCTAATTGGTTGAAGCATGGTCGTCGACCTATGGAGAGTTCTTTATATTCGGTAATAAATATTTCTATATAATATTTACAAATTGGCTTTGGATACTTAAGCTTAATCGTAATAAGTTATTTCCTCCCTTTGAATAACGTGAAAAGATCAATCTGACAGTATCGAATTAATCCACTGTGCTACCAAGTATTAGTATGTATTTGACTAATGCTACTTATGCGTGTGTTATGGTCAACCGTACTAGAACTATGTATCTAATACTAATGGATACTGGTGGTTGATTATGGGCTCGATCAACCCACATAACCCGATAATATTTAAAATTTTTATACCTTTTTTTTTGTCTTAAGCCTACGTCTACGAATTAAAAATAAACTTTTATCGGTTCTTTTCGAAGAGGGCTTCTAGGTTGTAGGCATTGACAAGCTAGTGTCTTCTTTGAACACACTCTGATCACATTAGCTCGATAGTGAATACTTAAGTACATGTATCGTATTCTTAAAAATTCATATTTCTTCCAGTTTCATTAAAATGGTTTCTCGTATAAAAGTTGCGCTTTTCGCAACCTATTCGATAAAAATTTCAAATTGACAACTTATTATATGAGCTAGAGCAGCAACAAATAAAGCCAAAAATTAAAATCCACAGCTCATTTCTCAAAAATGTTAATCATAAAACCACCTGGGATGATTTTCAATACCATGGTAGTATAACTTATTTTAGGGTTTTCCGAATTGAAAAATAATTTGCCACAGGACATTTATTTAAGGGCACAACAACTTTCACAATCGCGTCAAGCTAATATAATCTTATACGAGAGTGAGAGACTTATTCATATTTCCAATCCAAGGCCGGATTAATCAAATGTTTTTATCCGTTATTTTACTCCTACTTCTCAACAAATTTTGCATATTCAAACAGTCTTTAGACTAGTGTCGACAATGGCTGCAAAATTTCGCTTCCCCGCTTCCCCCTAATTAGATTTAGTTTGAAGATAAAAAGACACCTACTTGGTTAGTTGTTTTATTTACTTTCCGTGTTCTCTTTCAGACTCTATTAGGGTCGATACCGTTCGCAATTTACTTCTTTGGCTCTTTTTAAAATACATGCTTGTTTTTACTGGTCCTTAATCCTAAGTATTCAATTAAGCAATTATTCGAAAAAACTTTCAAGCCTATTATAATGAAAATCTTTCAAGAAAACAATAAATGGTTATCTATACGCATTTAGATTATGTCGACATATTAGACTTCTACATTTTCAGGTTTCTATTGAATAGAATTAGTTTCCAAAACTGACTATACTAAAATATGCAACATTGCCATGAGGCGGACAAAATTCTTCTAATTTCGTAGTGGATTAAATTAGCACCTAAATGATATACACATGTTTGTTGAATGAAATAGTCTTTTCATGGACGACAACTTGACGTAGGTCAACTTAACTTATTAACAAAAAAGGTTCTGATTCATTGGCGTAAAAAATCCACTTATGTACGCGTAATATAAAGATGCTGATACATGTCACAGCTTGTCAAGAATACTAAATACTCCATAATTATGTTACTTGATCTGATATCATTCTGAAAGTAGGGCATCGACATAGCCGGTCGGCGGACAAGGTCGGGAATGTAATGAAAAAAAAAAAATTTTTGAGTATGCCTTTTACAAGATTATAAATATTTTATATATTCATATTTCTCTTAAACTTTAAATAACATTCCCGGAGGTACATATAGGCTAAAACAAAGCTTTTAAATTTATGCTTATATGTTTTATATAAATGTAATTTTACTCTCTTAGTTATTCAAGGACTGAAAAACTGTATAAAATGGCAACTTGTCCGAGTGGTTAAGGAGAAAGATTAGAAATCTTTTGGGCTTTGCCCGCGCAGGTTCGAATCCTGCAGTTGTCGTCATTTTTTTTTTTTGAGCAAAAGATATTCTTCGACTGTTTTGTTACTTCGCTACATTGAAAGACTGAAATTTCGTGTATTCTTAGGAAATTATAGAGTACAATTATTCGATTCTAAACGTTTAATTCGTATTTAATCAACTTTTTATAGCCCTCGACAGCTTGTAGCAAACTTTGATTTTCAACGTACTCGTTAGGAGCATGAGCTACTAAAATACTTCCTGGACCGTATAAGTATCTTCTTTGAACAGGAACACTCAACCGAGGAACATCAGTACCATATGCTAACACTATAGATTCAAATCCAGGGACTTTGTAGTCTAAAAAAGTTGGATTACTTGAAGAAAATTTTTCGTACGTTAAATTTTCAACATTATCAATTACCTTTAATACTTCTTGATCGATTGTATCAACATCATCGGCAACTCTGATTAGTACACTAGCAGTACCATTCTCCGGAAGAACATTTATAGCAACACCGATATTTACTTCACCTATGTTAATGGTCGAAGGTCCTAATAAGTCATTCACAGGTAAATCTAAATTTTGGATTTTGGATAAAATTGGTAGTAAGATTTCAGAGGCAGAAATCCCTAAATGGGGGTAACCACTATGGGAAGCTTTACCATGGGCAAACAAGTTAAACCCATAAACACCTTTATGGCCAACACCTAGTTTATTTTCAGTTGGTTCACCAAAAATGGCAGAAGTCCAATTTACATTTAATAATTGAGCCTTATCCATACCTGCGCTTCCAGTTTCTTCACCAGTAACGAATAATAAAGAAGCATCACCTTCTCTCAATTTTCCAGCTCTAATCAAAGATAAAAAGGCAAACACTTGAGCTGCAACTGACCCTTTTGCATCTGAAGAACCTCTCCCGTAAATTTTTGTTCCATCAATATGGTAAGGAACGAAAGGAGGAACAGTATCAATATGGGAAGTGACCAAGACCTTAGTGTCCCTGGTATTACCTAAGTATGCGTAAATATTGTATCTAGGTTTAGCATGTTTTTCATCTGCGTTCACTTGTTGCAATTCAACGGTCAATCCAGCGTCCTCTAAATATTCTTTTAAGAATTGCGACACCGAATATTCATTTAATGTAATTGAAGGAATCTCAACCAATCCCTTATGGAATGATAATAATGAGAGACCGTCTACTTTGTAATCGGTAAGGTTTTCAAAGTCATTCGGCAAGTTATCGTCATTCAATTGACCAAGTACTATTTGGTTTTGGTTCGTTTCATGAAAGAAGGAGGGGGTGGAAACAACACACCCAAACAAGTTAATTGCAATAGCACCCACTAGCAATTGAATAAGCATCATCTCTCGGTACTCTCGACTCCCGGACTTTCGATTGGTTTATATCTAATATCCACTAAAATATTTTCGTCTGCTCGTTGATGAGAAGATATTTTTCTGGTGGAAAATTCCGAGTTTTATAACCAAAACCACAGTTCTAAACCTATATCATCTTTTTTGGTATCAGACTACATCGTCGATTCCTGAGCTCTAGTCATTTAGGTGAAAACCTTTTCATAATCTAAGTCATGTCTACAAAACGCATTTGTAATAGCAAGCTCTAAACTCCTAATACCATTGAAAGGCATTTATTAAATGATTATTCTCAATTTCGCAATTAAACGAAAAAAATCATATTCAACTCCAAATCGTTTTGAATATTTATAAAGTTTATAGTTGATTTCTGTAAAATTTATGATAAAATTAGAAAAAACTAAGTTTTATCATTTTTCAACAAGTAATAAGTCAAAACCAATAAACAATCCCCATATACCCTTTCAAGCTTGCAACCATTATCGAAACAACGTTGAAAATTACTAAGCTGGAACGGAAAGTTCCCAATATGGAATGGTCTGGAGAAGACTATGCTCGGATATTATCTACTTTGGGTAACGCAGCATGAAATCGCACTCAGACTCTGCCTGACAAGCAGACTCTGCTTGACCGGCATATATAGACAGACTAATCCGCTTGGGTGCTTTAGTTTAACTAGTAACTGGGTATGATGGACAACTCAGCCATATTGCAAAAAATATTAGTTTTGGGTTGTGGAGAACTTGGAACTGAGGTTCTTAAGAACTTGAATGAATTAAAGACTGACGAACAAGTATATGTTCTTGTAAGAGAACCGAAAACCGAAGAGAAAAAAAAGAAATTGGACCAGTGGAAGGAAGCTGGGGTTTTGCCTATCTACTTTGATCTTTTGGGATCCTCTGAAGAAGAAATCTCGGGTTTATTCAGTAATTTTGATGCTGTAATTACTTGTATTGGGTATGGTACGCCGCTAGGAACGCAGAGGAAAATCACCAAATCTGTTTTGAACGCAAAGGTAAAGCTCTATATTCCCTGGCAGTTCGGGATAGACTACGATGCCATAGGGTATGGGTCGGGCCAGGACGTATTTGATGAGCAATTGCAAGTTCGAGAATTGATTAGAGCTCAATCACAAACAGATTGGATCATAATTTCTACCGGTGTCTTTATGAGTTATCTTTTTGAGCCATTTTTCGGTATTGTTGACAAAGAAAATTCCAGAATTAATGCATTAGGCAGTTGGAGTAACACAATGACTTTTACCACCCCTGAAGATATTGGAAAGTTGACTGCTCAATTAATCTTGAAGAAATATCCAAAAACGAAAAATGAAGTTGTTTATGTTGCTGGAGATACGGTGAGTTTTGGAGATGTTCATAAGAAAATTAGTGATTTTCTAGGTAAAGAACTTGATAAAAGCGTATTAACGGTTGATGAACTCTTACAGAGCTTGAAGGAGAACTCTGAAGGCGTTGCCAAGTACAGACTCGTTTTTGCAAAAGGCATAGGTGTTTCCTGGGATAAAAAATCCACTTTTAATGAAATGGAAGGTATTCCAGTAGAAGATATTTCTACCTATTTGAAAAAAAGAAATCCTTTCAAGGATTAAGCTGGTAACAAGTTTCTTTTTCTTTCTACAATCTCTCTAGTTGGTTTATAATTTAAAAAAACCTATAATTTATTTCTTATGTAAAAAATAAGCTTCTTTTCTGTGACTACCGTCTCAAAGACATTGCACATATTGGTTTAAGTTGCACGATAAAAGAAAGGCATAAACTAGAAAATCTTGCTGCGAAAAAAAAAAAAAAAAAAAGCCATCACCCAAGAGAAACAAAAGCTGAATTGTAAATGCTTATCTATGGTCGGTATTTTCAGTCCTCTTTGCAGAGCCGTGATAAAATTCACTAAAGTGGGTACTTTATTAACTGATTAAATGACTGATGTTTGGCCTGGGGGGTGTTGTTTATATGTATTTCTATCGGGTTATGTGGGTAGATCAGACCTCTATCGACCACATATATCTATACTATATATGTATAGACATATGTTCCAGTATGGACGACCATAACACACGCAATAAGATATTAGCTAGATACATACTAATAACTGATTATGGAGTGGATTAATTTATTATATAGATTAATCTTTTTGCTGTTATTCAAAGGGAGGAAATAACTTATTACAATTAATACTAATATAACAAAAGCCAACAATATTNAGATTATATAAAATGTATATTACCGAATGAAAAACTCTTCATGGGCATTGCCCATACTTCTATCCATTTAACCAATAGGAGCAGTCACGGAGGTCCACGCTCCAC